TAGCTCACAGGCCCAATGGTACAGCACCATCCTCACCAGGACCAATGCCTTCACATTGGCAGCATGTGCACTGCCTTGCACTCAGCCCTTTATCTTACCTAGGCCTTGTGCTGGCATCATGCAGCCTTAGGTCAAGTTCAGGGGTGAGAAGCAGGAGAGGAAAGGAAGGCAAACTGTATTTAAAATACCTTAAATAACATGAGGGATGCTTGCAGAAGTCATTTTTAAGAGTAGAAGTAAGTAACAAAAATTAAAAAAAAAAACAGCTAAAGATACATTAATACAAAATATATTTTGCTATTGACTTTAGAGGATAGAGGTCGCTTCCTCTTTTTGTCCACTTTTTTTCTCCTCTCCTCTTTATCCTCCCCCTTAAAGCAAAATAATCGAGCTGAATCTCTGAGAAGTCAATGAAAAAATCTAACCTAACCTACCAATCTGCTGTTGTTCCTTGCACATGAATGACTATGAATCATTTTCATGTTCACACATCTGCAGCCAAAACTAATTCATGAATGAACAGATTCCCTATATTTCCCATGCTCTTTAAGACGCACCTGAAAGTCATGTAGACCTCGACCACAAAGACTGAGGTAAGGATGTACAGCTCTCCAAGGCTGGTTAACCAGCTGAGACTTTCTGTCTCTGCTAATGCCAGCGAAAAGGATAGGCACCTCTGGAGAGCTGTTCAGCACAGCTATCTCAGTCAGTTGTCTTCAGGTGAAATAAATCTCCATTTGGAAATGCCTACCTCTTTATTCATGAACAGTAGCAGAAGTCTAACTGTTAGTTTAGGCAATTTGTCTCTTTTATGGTTAAAGTTAGGTGAGACGAATGTACAGCTCATTGTCCACATTCTTTGGTCACAAGGTTCACTCTGCAATGACTGATAAATATAGAGCTGCCACCCAGCATGAGAGATGTGCATATGAAATCAGTCAACACATGAATTTCAACAGATTCACATTTGGATCATTAATTATAGCAGGTACCTTTGGGTCTGCCCCTTGCAGGTACCTTAGTAGTGGTGGTAATCACATTTATTTGATAGTAAGAAACACTTTTGGAGTCATACAAAAAGTACAGTGCTGAGTAGTAGCAAACCTAAGGGACACACAACAAATTAAAGAAGAACAGTAAAAGATATGGATGATATCTGGGATGACAACAAATACAATGTTTCTTCTATAAAGAAGAGAGAAGTGGGATAGGAAGATTAAGTTGAGGTAGATAGAGTACACTATGCAGAAAAACAAGGTTAGGTGAAGGGACTGAAGGTCAGATGGGGTAAGGGGTGTTTCTTTAGCTCATATCTAGACAGTAACACAGAAACCTTTTCCTTGGGATCAGTGGGCATTCCAAATCCATGTGCAGCTTTTAAACTGAATATGGAAGAAAACTTGTGCTTGGTATTATTGATTATTGCCCATTAGAGCTTGTGTGGAGACCATTAAGCTCATTTCGCTTCAGATTATGGAATAAACTAAAAGGTGAAAAGCTTGTTTTTCATCCACTATGCTAAAGAAGCAATATCTTTTTTTTTTTACATTAAGCAACTGTGAAAGGAAAGACTGTACAACAACTAGACGTATAATGTAAATATCAAGGTTACCAAAAGTCACAGAGCAACCTTTCCAATAATCTGAAGTGGTGATAGAAAGAGTAATACAGTAAATTTATATTGATGCAGCAATCATTAACCCTACACCCTTACTTTGATTTGCACTAAAGAAGCAGCTGACTGTATTTTTGTGTTCTGTTTTTTTATCCCACCAAAACTGTTTAGCAGGTTGGCAAGTTTACTGTCTGTGAGTATACATGTGCATATGTGTGTCCACCTGTGTGCCTGCGAATGTGTTTGGGAACATATATAATATTCCAAGTTCCTTGTGTTACAAAATAGTGTGCATATATTATTCAAATATTTTAAACATGTGCTATTAAAGATCACTTAGGGGGGCTCAATTACATGAATCCAGATTCTGCTACTTTAGAAGGTGCTAAGGAACATTACTTTGGGCAGTGGTACCGAAATATTTAAGATTCTCAGGAAATGAGTTACTCATGCAGAATCTGACCCAAACTGTTATTTCCACAGATCACTGTGAACAATTATTTATGTTCTTAGTTTTATACAGACTCTTTATACTGTTGTCACTCCTCTCTCCCCTATAATCTGTGGCTTGTCCTATCCCTTGTAGAGGAGCCCTTGTAAAGCTAGAGATTGTTGGAATGCTTGAGTCACTTACCCACATAAACCAGTGACTACTCACGTTACTTTTCAGTGACAAAGATTTGAAATCCTACAGTGGACAGGCAATTTTAACTGGAAAACGGGGAAAGGCTATTTAATACTGAAATAAGTAATCAGGAAGCAAGTATCAGTGAATCATTAGGGTGTTTAAGAAAAAATAAACAGAAAACAAGTAACTGAAAAAGCAAGGATAAAATTAAACAGTAATGATGATTTATAGTAAGATACTCTGAGACATGACAGAAGTCTCAGTACACCAAAAGGAAAATCTTGTTTGCTCAAATTATTTGTTTCTTCTGTCTAATGAATGTAATTCTAATATACAAGTGATAACACTGGCATTTCTTTGAAGTGTTGATTCAGTTTAATTATGAAAATCACCAAGGTATTTTCTGGCTGCTGCATCACTCCCTGTACTAAGATTAATCACATCAACATCATTCATTTAATCTTCAAAGAGTAAGCAGTTGTCCACAAAAGCCTTCAAATAGCTTCATTAGTGCAATTTTTCAGACTCAAACACTTATCTGGCAGCATATGATTGAGAGTAAGGAAGGTCATTATATTCATCTGTTTCTTAATCCAATTTATTTTTTTAATGTTTCTACATTTCTTTTGTGGATAAGTTTAAGCTCCACATTCTTACCCTTTATTATGGACAATCAAACCATGTGCAGTTCAAACACAGATAAAATATTTGATGGCTATCATGATTTACTCAGTTTACAATGGGATGAATTTGAGCCAGAATGTGCTCCTCTTCAGAGCTCTGCACTGATTTAACATACAGGTTGTTTCCGTCACCAGTCATGAGCACAAAAGACCTTAAGATGTATTTGCTCAAACATGCAAATAGAGTTAAAAAGGTGAGACACAGAGCGATGTGCCTAATGTTTTCAATGCCAGACTGAGACCTATTAGAAATGTTTTGAAATAAAAATAAGTCCGGCCTCTCCCTATTACTAATATTTGATTACATGCTAAAAGCATCATCCTCTTCAGCCTCCCATGGATGCTGAAAAGACCTTTCCTTGTTTTATATTACTTACAAACTTCTCTAGCACAACCCTGTGCATTGTCAAAGAATCATGATACCCAGTGACCAATTAGCTGAAATTGTGCCACAGTCTTTGATTAGTTTAAATTTTTTAAAAATATAGCATTGCAACCCAACATATTCACACTGAATGTGAGAGCTCACTAGCAAGATTGCGATGACAACCTGGTCAGACACAATTATCTTACCTGCATAACAGTAAAATAGCCACTGATCAAAATGTGCTTAGTTCTAGTATTGAGAACCAAAGCCTCCAGGTTTAGTTTTGAAGCTTTAAAAACCAAACACTTTATTATAGTTTATGTTAAGACATTTGCCTGCAGCTGTCAGTGGATTTCGTAAAAAATTTCATCAATCAGAAAAGGGGAAGCCTTGAGATGTTGGGCAGTGACTGTATTTTTTAAAAAATATAGATTATTTAAATAACGATAAATTATAAAAAGAACTATTACAATGAATTAAAATTGTCCTTCTGTTTAATTTAAGGTGAGGAAAAAAAATCAATTTTGCATTCAACAGAAAAACTTGGGCAGAAATTTACAAAAATGTATCTTAAGGCTCTGGTGGATTGCCACAGTTGCAAATATGCCAGTCATTCAGAGGCTCCCCAAAAGGAGGCAAAGATGTGTTTGAACCACTAAGATATTTGTTTTATTTACTAGATATAGTTTAGATAGAGGAGCACAGGAAAGTTCTGTAGCTAGAAACCTGTGTATATGCTTCAATAGTCCGTGTATCCCACATAGCTATTTTCATTCCTTTCCCTGGCATATAAACAGAACTCACACTCCATCTTTGGTTTGCAGTGATATCTAAAATCAATTGCTATATGAAAAAAACAGCATAAAACACAGACTCCATGTGGCTCTCAATCTAACCACTCAAAGGTTAGATAGATGAGGCTTTTGGAATCAAGGGTCCCCTGCACAAGCAAGGATTTTCTTTGTACTTAAAAAAAAAGAGAAAAAAAAGAGAGAAAAGTCAGTATTCTCAAAAGCAGATGGATAACCTAATACCTCACTTGCACCTTTTTGTAGTAAGACTGCCCCAGCTTCGGTGCAGAGTGGAAAATCATAATCTGGTGCAATATTTATTCATGGTGGAGAAGATTAAGGCATATCACAAGATGAGTTTACATGCAGGCTTAAGTTCTTGAGCTGATTTATGAAATCCAGTAGACTGTTTTTCTCCTGGTGAGCTTTTTGGCTAGAGAAGAGTCATGCTGGGGGACTCCTCACTCATGACAAGAGATTGAGTCATGGAAATCAATTTTGTTTAGAGGAGAGGTCAGGATGCAAGAAAGTCACAACAACTGTAATAGTTACCACAGGTGAAGTGACACAGCAGCCACAAGAATGTGTCTCCATTGGTGTTTATCAGGCATTTGTCACCTGGATATTTCAAGCTGCGTTGATATCCCATCCTTAGTTCGAGGTGTTAGACTCCATATATATCTATTGCTATTCCAATATATCAGAACTTTCCATGCAGGAACCGAGGGCCTCTGTGGAGGATTTTTTTTTTATTTTATTTTGTTAAGAAAAACAGCAAGTTTGGGCTTGGAGAACTGTACTTTTTAAAACCTTTCCCTGAATTGCTTTCAGGTCTTGTCCCTGGATCTTGGCAGTATGAGGCCACATCATTTCAAACTGTGAACAACAGAGGGAATGACCAGACTCATCCTGCAGTTTGTCCCACTTCACTGGAATACTTAGAAATTCTTATGCAAAGTAAGCTTATTTCTGCCTCTACTTTCCCTCTGCAGGATGTGGTGGAGTGAGGGCATAGCTACTCTATTGTGCACTTTTAAACAGGAATCTTTATGACAAAGAGCTGCTGTATATCCCTGGAATCATTTTATCCAAAGAGTCATCTGCAGTCATGGTTCAGTACTAAAATCAGTATGTTTCTAATAATTTAGCCTTAAAGGGCTATAATCCTTGGGTGACATTTAAGCTCTCCTTTTCACTTCTCCTTTTTATTCAGATAGTGTTATCCTCAGGAGCCCCAAAGCTTCTAGGTCTCAATCAGGCCTTAAAAGAAAGCAAATTCTTCAAACAGGTCTTGCTGTGAAAAATGTAGGTATTATATGCTACTGTTCTTTATTGTTCTCCTCAAATCTCAGTTTCCCTAATTACACATTACGACTCTGAAAACTACGAATTATATAATGAGTCTAACCAAGACGTGTGCTGCAAGTACTGCTTCAGTTATCAGGCAAAGATAGGAAAATAAAGCTAATCATTGGGAAAGCATTTTCAATTAGTCTGCCTCACTGTGTCCATTTACAAGGCATTCATTTATGGTTGTTGCTTTTAATTTTAACAGTAAATGAACTTTTGCTGCTAAAGTAGGAACAGATCCCTGAGTAAGTGCCAATACACAGGACAAATAAATAATCAATTAAGGATTCACCTCTCCAAGGGTCATGATCTGCCTTTTTTTTTGTATTACAGATACATGAGTTTTCAATCAAAATTGGTACCAAGTAAAAAACCTTCTTCATAGAGCATGAAGAAGTAGAGATTCACCTTTCTGACCACCTTCTTTCCTGTCTTCTATATATTCTCATAAAATATTTACTCTACTTCTGAATGACCACTCTGATTATCCTCAGACTCCTTTTCAGATTCCCTGATGATGTCATGGAAATGTTAAACCCATTATGCTAAGCTAGGACCTCCATCTACTGTGACCTCTTGGCACTAGCTTCTGAGGACAGCATGATACTTTTACATAAAAGTTAGTCTTCCTTTGGGTCATCAATAGATGGACTCAGCACTTCAGTCAACACCAATAATACTTAAGCAAGGCAATTTAAAAAGTTCAAATCCATTCTGTGCTTACAATAAAGCAATTAAAATGTCTTTTAAAACATATAATTATTTTCTATTGGAAAATAAGCATTTATATTATTTCATGGATCCACCCCACAGGTAATACATGGCATTCCTTTTCATTAAGCTATAAAGGAAGTGATTACTGACTAGCACCCTGCTCTAATTATCTTTAATGTAGTGTTTCAAATTGATCATGCATAATGCAATTAGAAATCATAATTAAATTAATTTATATTGATTTAAGTCTTTATAAGTTGTTAATAACCGTGACCCATTACATTAATTCCTACAAGCCAACATTAAAATTTCCAATATGCTGAAATATTTCCCTTTTTCCCCCTTCCTCGTGTCGGGCACTGCTGCAGGAACTCACAGGGGATGCCGGTCGAGGCACGCTCCCGGGCAAGCGCTCCCGTGGCCGGCGGCTCTAGCCTGGCCCTTCGTGTTCCCGGCGTGAGAGGGTGCTGGGGAACGAATCGATGGCTGGCTTTAATGCGGGAATAATGACCGCTACCCGGGCTGACAGCCGCCCCTTAGATTTCCATGGAGACAGAAAGACCCCGGCAGCCGCCCAAGGGGAAAACTCGAGGGTTGGGAGTCAGAAAAGGGTGGGAGGGGTGATGCCTGCTGAAGGAGAGAAGCCCTTTCCCCACCCCTTCCCAAAAGCAGGTCGTGCAGGAGCTCCCCTCCGGCCGGGGAGGGCGTGGGCCCCGCCGCAGGGAGGGCCCCAGGGGGGCTTTCCAAGGCGAGAGACGCAGCGAGACCCGCCCCGGGGGTCCCGTGTGGGAACGCCCGGGCGGGGGGTGCAGGCAGAGCCGGCGGGGCGAGGCAACGCCGCGGCTCCCGGGGACATGTGCCCGTGGCTGGAGCCGGCCTCCGGCCCCACGGAAGGCTCCCATACCTCCCCTCACCTGACACAGATCTTGTTCTGTCCCATCCTCCCGTCCCCATTCCCCTTCCCCCAACCCAAAAGCTCTCGTGAAAGTTATTTTTCCCCAACTCCAATTAAACTCGTACAACATGGCCCCCTTTTCGGAAGAATTATGCATAAAAACAAGAAGCAAAACATCCAGCGTGGGATGTCACGGGCCAGGCAGCGCTCGCAAACGGGTGTACTTCCACCCTACCCCTGTCAAACACCTTTCATCAGATGCGAACGCTCCAGGGTCAAAATAAGTTTTTCAGTGAAAGAGATGTCCGGCTATAATAAAATCTTACAACGGGGGGTGTCACGAATCATTTAAGAAAACAATTTATGCTTAAATAATATTTCCTTTAAAAAAAAATTCGGGGTTTGCAAACCAGAATTTGATTTAAGAGGCATAAGAGGCATAAATTCTATTATATGTACAATTTAATCACGGGGTATTTAAAATAGACATTTCCATCTAAAATCCAATCAGAAATCAACACAGTACCTCGAGGCATTAAGATGATCATCTCCATTTTGCATTCGTAAACTGGTAGAAATAAATGTGACTTGTGGATACCAAGAGGTCAAGTACGGCTGCTCAAATATTTTTCTTACAAAATGACGGATTTATTAGACAAATAAGTGGCCCGGCTGATGCAAAACCCCCAGTGATTGAATTTTGACGTTAAGTCAACAACAACTCGAACTACATCAGTGCTCCAAGATTTAGTTATGATGGTAGAGATTACTGAACAAACAGGAGGCAGAAATGAATACAGATTTCCTAGGATCTGCCCCTGGCACCCTCTTCTTGACATTCGCCTCCATATGCTATCCCTATTCATAGTGTATTCTAATTAAAGGACTGGGCTATGTCTTCTAATTTTACAAGAACTTTTAAATAATTAGTCTGGTGTGTGTTAAAAGGGACAGCTTCAGACATAAGGGGATTTCAGTCCCTTTAGGATCTCTCCCCGGCTTTGCAGTTAACACAGTCCCTTCCATGAGGAAGGGTGGAAAACGCCTCTGATTTGATTGCAGAAAGATATGAACCCTGACCAAACTGCCGTATGCAAACACAGACGTCCTCGGTTCATTTCCATCCCATTCAAAGAGAATAGTTTTGGGGGGGGGGGGGGGGGAAACACACACGACACGGATTGACGGGCGGGGAGGTGTGTTTGGGATTTTGGTGCAGGATTGGGGGTTTTTTCCCCCTTCCCAGTGTAAAAGATGTTGAGGGTTCAGCATTCCTGCGAAAATCCCACGGATTCCAATCGCCTATGAAACAAGGTTGGACTGCAGCCTGCATAGCCTCGACAGTGGAACCTCTACCACGCTGAACCTGTTCCCTCCCTCCTTTTCCCTTCCTCTCTCCTTTCCCCCAGCCCCCCTCCCACCCTACAGGTGTGTGTATCTAAGCGAGTCCCCCGGTCTGAGCGTTGTTAGCCGGCAGGGAGCAAGGCGTGTGCTGGAAAGCCTGCGTGAGCTGGGCGAAAGCGATGTTATCCTTGCTTCATTTCTTCAGCGCTTTGGAGCGTTACTTTTACTTGCTAATCACGAAGGGGCGCTTAAATAATTGAGAGTACGTTTAAGCATAAAGCAGTCAGTTTCTAATCTTTTCAGGGGGAAAGGGACTAATCTGCACCTGCTGTGAGAGCCCTTTTTTTATTTATTCTGTATATTACTTCCACTCCAAGCTGGACCTGATGGCTCCAATTACAGTTGAGCCTTGCGGAATCCATACTCTCCCTTTTGCAGCCCCTTTCTCTGCTATAAACTTTTTCTTGACAGAGGAAGCAGGGGGATCTTACCAGACACCATTTAGCTGAGATTATAATTTATTTATTTTTTTAAGAGAAGCTCTTCAGAATTCCCAAGATCTCCAAATTTGCCTTCTTTCTATTGCCTCCACTGTCTCATATGCATATTTGTAGAAAAGAGAAGCATACACTGGCTGCCACAGCGATCTGGATTATTTTTTAATAGGGCATAGTTCGAGAGGAGAGTTTTAACGTAGATTTTCTCCTATTTAGCATTTGGGAAGAAATTATATAGGAAGTCTTTCTTCTACTACTTATTTTCACTGCCGGGTTTTTACGTTGGATAGAGGTTTCCCAGAGTACTGCCACAGTTAATTCCAGATTTTTATTTCTGTAACCTACTTAGGATGCAAAAAGGAGAAAAAAAATCCCGTCAAATTAAAGTGAGTCCTCCTGTCTTGCCTGCTCCCAGCAAATAACTTGCAGCACCTAATAAATCCAGATGGAGTTCCTCATATAGCCCGGTGCAGAAATAATTATTGTCCTGGCTTGTTTCATGTCAGAGGCCTCTTTGGCTCATCTGTCATGAAACCAATTTCACTTTATTTACATCCATTTGCTAGTTTAATTACTGTGCTGATGAATAGCCTGAAGGAATTAAGTTACGAGTCTTTGGAAACCTAAAACGACAGATATATGGGTTACCTTTTAAATAGAGGAAGAAAATGATGGGTGGTGTGTGCACCAAAATTTAAAGGTAATAAGAGCCTTTCCCTAGCTAGGTGGAAATGCAGAATCAACTGATACTCAGCCCGTGCATTTACCTCTGTCTTGATGTAAAGTATTGCTTAGGAAGGCATTCATATTTTTGCAGATTTAATGCAATCTGTATTAAAGCATAGGTTCCAGAAGACGGGTGCCAGCTGTAGGTGTAAGCACAGATGCACTCATTATTTTTCCAGCCACCAAAAGGGGAAAAAAATGTTAAAAAGTAAGGTTGACTTCAACATAACCTATGCACTTTACCATATAATACATATCAATAGGGCTACTATCCTGTGTTTGCAATGGCAGAAATTGTCTCAAGCTCTTTTCCCTCTAACTTGCCTCTCTGTGGTGTCCTGTACCAACAGAGGGAATTCCAACCAGCTACAGGATACTGTGCTTTTTGTGTAAGCCTGCAAAAACACAGTTTGTCCTCGTGTTAAGCGTCCCTGCTGTAGCCCACGTCCTTTTCCTTTCTTCGGGTGTTTTTTCACCATTTACAGCACATCCATGCGTGTCACTTGACCTGGAGATCAGGCATGGAGACCAGCCCCATCCACCTCCACGATCCCTACTGCAGGATCCTAGCATACTGAAGTGAACCCATTCTCCCCTCCTCCACCGCTCAGTAACTTTCCTGAGCCGCTGTAGCATTTTATAGTAATCTAGTATTTCAAAACTTTATGTGGCGTGTACCTGAGCAAAAGGTCAGTCTCTTTAATACTCTCCTTCATTCACTGTGAAAGATAAAATAATAATTTAAAAAAAAAAAAAAAAATTAAAAATGGCAGCGGTCTCGGAATTGGGTTGGAAATGTCGATTGTCTGAGTTGTGCCCCCGAGTGCCCCTGACGTGTCACCTACGGACTGGCCAAGAAGGTTCAGGAGGAGCCCATGTGAGCACGTTCATTCTAACCCTGAAGAGAAAGTCCCCCGAAAACCCTATCCTCCAAACAAAATTGAGAAACCAGACCAGTGCCTCTTCTTGGGCGCTGAGCCTTGACGTTAGATACATCAAGGCACCTTTATTTGCCTGAAACACAGAAGTTTAGGTGGTCCCGTTTTGAGGGCTGCACAAAAAATTTATGTACAAAAGGACTTTTACACCTCTCTCTTACACAGGCTGCTTCTTCCCCTTCTCCCGGTAATATTGCGGATTCAATACTTTTGTGGATCTCACGTGGGACAAACCTTCCTTGAAGAAATGACGTGCAGCAATAGGTAATAGGGGAGATAAAAGTGGTGAGGACGCCCAGAGCTCTGGCTGTCTATAGGGGGGATGATGTTTGGCTCGCTAGAAAAAGGCTTCCCCTCGGAGACACCCTCCGCAAGGAGAAGGCTGAAGGGGCACACAGAGATCCGCTTTGTCACAGAAGTTGAGTAGCACTTTAAAACCAAATCCTTTGCCAGGCGAAACGTGACACATTTCTCCCTCCTGCCTCAAATCTCGCTACCGGCTGACCTGAGTTGGTTACACGAGGGTATAAAAGAGCAGATCAAAAGAGAATTACAGCTGCCTGTTCGAGGTACTCCGGGTCTTTATATCTGAGAGAAATGAAAGGAGAAAGTGTACAGCAACATACAGTGGGGTATGAAAAGCTCCCTTCCCCCGCCGCCTCTCTCCTCTTCTCTCTCTCTCCCTTTGATTAATAGATCCATGTGGCTAACGGCCTGACATATGGTGTGCGAAGCAGCTTGAGATGGTACCTCAGGCATACCCTACGGCCATTAACATATTACAGGCTTCTGTGCAGCCACAGACGGACAGAGAGAGAGCCAGACAGACAGACAGCCTTCCCTTGGACCGCACCGCCCGCCGCGGCCCCGCTGGAGCTCTCCGCTGTGCTGAAGCGCCGCCGCTCCGCTCCGCCTGCGCGCAGCCCGCCCGCGGCGCCTCCGCCGTGACAGGGTTCAAAAAGCAGGCGTGCACGCACAGGCGGATTTGAAAGTCCTGCGCCGCTTTCAAACGGAGAGGTGGAAAGCAACATCGACATTACTCCTTGCGCATAATATAGGGATCTACCTCCCTCCCTTTTTTTTTTTTTATATATATATATTTTTTTTTTTTTTAATTCCAGGAAAAAAAGGTATTGCTATATGTATAAATCCTTTACCACAGAGTACTCAAAAATCGCCTTGTGTAGAACTCGGTCGCATTTATAGTGCAGAAAAGACATTTTTGCAAATGACCCAAAAGTTTAGAAACTCGCATCCATTGCACCTGGCAGTGAGGAAGAGATCTGATATTAGGAGGGTGGAATTATATTAAACAAAAGAGTGGCTTTAGAATGCAGCAAAACCTAAAGTTTGTTTAATCCATTTCAAGGATTCTGGCAGAAACATACATCACTCCCTGCATTTTGCCTTTTATTTTCCTGAAGATAACTGTCCCGACTCTTTGGAACTTTGTTCTGGCTGTTTTGTTGGGAAATAAATGCTAACACCAGATTAAACGTTTCAGATAGCTTCATCTTCTGATTTCAGGAAAATAGTGTTAATAAGGAGCTTTGATGTTGTTTTACTTTCAGACTGTGTGCCTTAAGGCAGAAAAACGTATAAAGGTACCTGGGAAAGTAAATTGCCAGAAGCAAAGAGCACCTCCCTTTCAAAATAGTGTAAGTACTCTTCTCACCTACATCAAACCGACCTTACGCAGAGCAGCGCTAGCTGTTTTGAGGTTTGCTGGCTTTTGCAAATATCTCTCCTTTCAATGCACACACGACGACGTGTGCTCCTGTGTTTATGTGTGCACATTTCAGTATTATCAGTTGCTAATGAAACTGAAGATTACAGGGGCAAATACGGAAGGCTCATTGCTGTAGCTACTTTTTTATTGTAATTTTCTTTTTTCCTAATAAGACTATAAAACCCCGTGGGGAAAAGCCTCCTAGAGATGTGTGGTGAGGAGTAAAGCCGATGCAACGTAAGTAGAGAACTGTAGACCTCCACCACGCTGAAAAAAACCCCAGAATAAAAGTTTCGCACGATGTATGTACATCTGGGTTTTCCTAGCTATTCCACCAGGAACCTCCTCTATTCTTTCGGAAGCCCAAAACATCAGCACCGCAGATTCCTCACACACAATCAATACATTTTGCATAACACGAGTCTCTCTCGCACGCTCTCCTCTTCCTCCCTCTCTATTTTGCTTTACCCTTCGTCGGTGGACGGGGTTTCTACACGGGGCTTTTCTTTTAAGAAATTAGTGCCGACGATAGAGTCTCATAAGTAAAACCTGCTTTCTCGCGTCAAAAATTTCACTGCAGCCCACCACAACAACCTTTCAAGCATGCGGTTCGGTTTCAGACAGACACAGCTTGTCTTTCTCCAGTTTCTCCTCTCACCCCCTCCCTTTCTATTCCTCTTACAGCAGTGCTTTAATAAAGTCACATAAGTGATTGAAATTAACATAAATCATTATTAGTTATTAGGATTTGCTCTAAATTACTCTGTGAATATAACACCAAACCCCATCTGCCACTCCTGCTCTAGCAGCAATAGATTGCAGATAAAATAAATGTCCTTACCCCATTAGAATGTTCCTGTCTCTGTAGCCAAAAGCCAAACAAAAGCAATAAATACAGAGCTTTTTTTCTCTCCACTATTCAGCTGTGACTGTTTTCATCAGCTCTTCCTCTAGAAAAGCTCAATAGCTGCCTGAAAATATTGCATTTTATATCACCAAAGGGCGATTAATATTGCATTAACTGTATTTAACATTTTTTAAGCGCGAGTAATCTGAAATGAGTAAGTTTCTGATACTAAATACAGGGGATGTCAGAGCTGGTGAAAACAGCTTAAAATATCTGTATAAACAGATTATTTGTTTCATACTTTGTATTTTTATAATGTTATGGTATAGTGTGCTCTGTTTGAAGTAGAAGAAGCCATGCTAATGGTCTGTTTAAAGTATTCTGACACTGTCTGGAGACATCCAAGTCTCTGCCTTCATTAAATGTTTATTGTCAACACTTCAGTGAAAAAAAAAGTCTTGTGTAAGTGAATTTCCACTGCTGGATGCTGTCAACACTTTGTTTTATTCTGATCCGCGTGTACAAAAGTTTGTATACATTATGCTGAAGTGAAGAGCGACAGAGATTTAGTGAGCTATAATTAGTTACCAAACAAACTTTTGTTAGTAATTCCGTTTACATAATGACCATAATCAAGGGCTAAGTTATGTATATCAGCGCCTTGTCTTCTTTCCGCGCAGCCCGTAAGAAGATGCATTCACGTTAACATGCTGTCCTCTTGTCAAGGAACACCTTTTTTAAAATAGAGTAAAACAAACAAACAAACTAACTAAAACAAAACCAAAACCGCCACACCCACAACTTTTACATCTTCTAGCTCTGGCTCACAATGTTAAATTGCTTTCTTCTACCCGGGCAAGGGATGAAAAACCGCCTCGGTCCTTCTCTGCACCCCGGTGTTTGCAGCATGAGCTGGTGTCTGCTCCCGCTGCTGGACCCGGGATTGGGGTGGTTTGTCCCCGCACCGAGACCCGCCCCGTGCTAGAGCCCGTGTGAGCAGGAGGGATGGTTGGCATTCCTACCCAAAGAGGCATTCTGGAGACTTTTATGACTCACTTATGAAAATCAGTGGGAAGTTACAATTTGTCTTCAACGTACCAGGGCCGAATGTCTTTTTAAGAAAATATTAAATTAATTTTTATATAAAGCCTTTTAAATACTTCAGTTTTTAGAGTGATTAACGTCTTACAACATATTTTTTTAATTCCCCCCACCCCCGACTTCCTGATAAATTTTAATTTTATATTTAAAAAAAAAAAAAAAAAAAAAAAAAAAAAAAAAAAAAAAAAAAAGAGGTGTTTAACCACGCTTCCCCACAGAATTAGAGATGCTTTGGCATACTTCGGTAAGCAGGCTGAAGGAGTTAAAATGCAGTTCAAAGGAGGACTCCTGCTTTCCCAGAGGGGCTATGACTCCAATTTGGGAAGCAGATTTTGCATGCACAGCTGCCTCTGGACGACCAGCCACGGCGAGCTCCCGGGCAGGGCTTGACTGGTGACACCGCCATAAATCCGCACCGGCGCAGGGACCGACATCCCCGGCCCCCTCTGCCCGCGGAAACATCGCGCTGAGCCCGCCTCAAAGTTGCGTCTTAAACCAGCAGGCGGAGAGGGATCCCGCTGGGGAGGGCGAGCATCCCGCGGCGCTTCCGCTCCCCGCGGAGGCAGGAGGTGCGGTGGGGGCCCCGCACCGACTGCTGCTGCCATCGGTGGTGCGGAAGCAAAGCGGAAAGTGCGTTACCGTGCCCGCGGGCTCTCCCTGCCCCTGCCCGCCCCCAGCCGCTGCTCGCCCTCCTGGCGACGGGGCTGGGGCCCTTCGGTGCAGGCGTGCTTTCTGCTACTGCTGCCTCTTCAAAGATTTATATGTGACATCTTAGTTTAAATTAACTTTTGAGCCCTGGGTTTCATTCATCCATCTACGCACCCACCCACCAGCCGCCTGCCTATCTATCTTTCTACTATACGAAGAGACTTGCTTGAAGTTTTACCACCCCGGTCTCATCTCTGGGACCTATATATTCAGCTGACCTATATATTCATCCACTGCTTTTATCCCAAACTGAGCCTCCTTCAGGTGCGAAAGGGTTGCAAAGGAGGAAAAAGAAAAAGCTTTCCGAAAGGAGAAGGAGGGGAAGCGGCGGGGGGGGGGGGGGGGGGGGGGGGGGGGGGAGGGAGTGTCGTGCAGCACGCCTCCCATCAAGCTGTCTTGACAACAATTACTAAAGTTTTTAATTAGCCTCTTGTTATAATTCATTTTATTAATTTTCTAAATCTCAGCCCATGAATTATTAACAGCGGCCCCGTAATTGTGTTTGCCGCGGCGCACGTGATGGCGGCGGCCCCGCCGCGCCGCTCTCCCCGCCTGGGTCCCCTCCGCGCCCCGGCTGGGGAAGGGGCCCGGGCGGCGCCGCGCCCCGCTATTTTATCAACTCTTAAATAACATAATTACCGATAATCACACCCTCGGCTGGCAGGTGGAAACAGGTTCCCAAGCGGATTAGAATTCTGCTGCTGATCTTTTAAAAATCAATTAGGCTTGCCTCCGCTTTGGAATCAGCAGGTAAATATAATAAAGCTTTAAAAAAAATAGCGCCGGCTGAAAAGCGAGATATAAATAACTGGAGGGATTTAAAATCGTTTGGGAAATGCCAGAATAACACAGGGCACCACTGGCGGTATCAAGCTTTATGTGCTCGAGTCCGTCAGAGTTAAAATAATTATCTTTCGACAAATCTATTTCTCTTCGGAGGAAAGGGGGAACACGGGGAGGCGGGGAGGGAGGCACATAAACCATAAAGTCAGTGCTGTAGGACACTTCATTCTCCTTCTGGGGAGCCTTTTTACTTGTTGAACCAGGACCGAATTAGTCTTAATATCACAGGAGAGTAAAAATCAATACGACCGTGGCAGTGGGTGTCTGTTACTCACTTATGATGGCCTAATCTAAGTTGAAAGCAAGCAGAGAGCAAGTGTTAGGCAGCAAATCCGGGAGCCAAACCGGGTCTCACGGATTTAGGACTGGAAAATCACACTAGGAAAGCGGCGAAATACCTCGGTTGTGGAGAAAAAGGCCATTTAAGGGTTGTGGAGAAAAAGGCCGAGGTGTTCTCGGCAAGGGGAACAGGCTGGAGTGCAGGAGTCATTAGAGGCGTCGGCCCCTGGCACAAGGGGTGGGGGGGAATATCTGTATTTTTTTGGTCTCAAATTGCTCTTTTGTATGCAAGAGGCTGCAAACTGTTGAGGAATAAATGCGAACGCATGTTATGCCTCTTCGTCTTTTATCTTACTTTTTTCCTCGGATGCAAAAGTTTTAACAGTTCTTAGTTTAGACGTTATAAATACTCCTCTTTTCTTTTCTTTTCTTTTCTTTTCTTTTCTTTTCTTTTCTTTTCTTTTCTTTTCTTTTCTTTTCTTTTCTTTTCTTTTCTTTTCTTTTCTTTTCTTTTCTTTTCTTTTCTTTTCTTTTCTTTTCTTTCTTTTTTCTTTTCCTGTCTTCCTTTCACTCTATTTTTTCTTTTGATATTTTTAATAAGGCATTTATTAAAAAGGCCTCACGAGCATTTTGTGGTTTTATGAACTATTCAGATTCATCTGACAGAAAGCAGGACGTTCCGGTTTTGCACAGTTTCCTACCATGAAAAATAGGAAACCCTGCAAAGCTTTTATTTTCACCATCTGTTTTATTAACATATTATTTTTTCTTTGTACTCGATAAGGATTGTACTTATTACAAAACAAACTCCTCAGCTTTTCAATACATACATCGGTCATTACTGTATGATACAAATGTGGTATCGCTTGCAACATTTCAATCGTTTGGGACTGATGAAAAAGAAAACCCCACATTTGTTATTATTTTTATTTGTTCATTCCTGACTCTCCAAAAAATGATACCCGGTAATACTTTTCTATAAAATAATATTTTTACAAATGCATTTATTAAAAATTCTGATGACATTTCAAGTCAATAACAACAGAAACAAGGTAATTTCCGGTGGATGAGATCTATGGTTTTTTAAAAATACCTTTAGTGCTTATTTTTTAACATCAACAGTTGTTTAAAATCACAGCTTTTTTGAACGTATTATTCTCTTCTGAACATCACGTGTCTTGATTCACAGATTTACCGGCAAAATTAAAAAAGATTTGGCTAAAATATGTCTACAGAAGAAATAATCCCAGCTATTAAGTAACTTTTTACATTTGGCATCTGATGTAGTCACAGGTCATCAGAAAATAGAAAGAGGTTCTTTGATCACTTGAAGCAGTAGGTGGCATCCTATACGTTCCTAATGAACAATTGCATTCACAACATAAGGAGAGATCAGTTTAGGATTTTCATATTTATTAACCCAAAATAAAAATAAAGTATCTTGTTACATAATTAAGTGCAATTAGGCCAGTCAGAACAACATATAAACCTGAAACCACCCAAGCTTTTCTTCTTTATACATATTTTGTAGGTGCATAATCCTTTCCAGCACACTGAAAAGAAATACTTCAGAAGTCCTTCTTAAAATTTTACTTTGATTTATATTCTGCAGTTATAGAATAAATTTCAAGAAACACACGCAGCTAATATATAGTTAATTTTATTCGGAGCACCGATTTTCACATAAGAGCTATCTCAAAGTAATGATTTCTGGATTTAAGCAGAAAAATACATCTCTCACTATTTTCTTTTTGGTAGAATTAGTCTTATCATCTAACGGCCATACCTTGAATTTACCAGCCGTGTCTCGGAAATATTTTTTTTAAAATGCACCCAATAATAATAGTAACTATTCTGTTTTCACGTTTGTTTTATTTGTAAGTATGCTGGGACGCATCTCCCTGTTGTATTTTGGCATACAGAAATATTTCTGATAGAAATAAAAGTAATAGAGTAAAGACACAACCAAGGAGAAAGCTCAGCAAACATACATGGACAGGTAGATTATTCAGTGAGACATTTTAGGATCCACACGTGGTTGCAGTTTGTAACCCTTTTATGTTGTTTTGTGCATTAAAGAAAATATTTACAATCGTCTTTCTTATCTTTTTTTCCCGTTTTTCTTCCTTTTTTTTTTCTTTCCTCTTTTAATTCTAAATACAAGAACGTGACAAGAACGTTTGTGTTTTCGGTGAAAACAGGCAGTTAAACTGTGAGATTACACCATCCACAAAAGATTCTACCAGAAGCTAGTCTATTTAGTGCTCAGTTTCAAAATGCATAGAATGTTTGCGCTGCAAACAATGATACACGAAATAATAATAATAATATTAATAATAAAATAAATAGATAAATAAATAAATAATATAGAGACTTTAACACGGATCTTTCTATGCCTTTTTTTCCTTTTTTCTTTTCCTTTTCTTTTTTTTTTTTTTTTTTTTTTTTTTTTTTTTAGGTCATGTCATGCATAATTTCAGTCTATTGTTTGTTTTGATTTAAACGGAATGGTATTTTCTTTGCAGAAATTCCTTGTTACTTGAAAGCCTTAGCAGTCTCTCTGCAAAAGCCAGAATCAGCGAAGGCTTCTGCACGTCACTGCCCTTTTTACCTAACAAGCCCTGATATTTTTTTTGTTTGTTTTCAACTCGCGAGATATGTAACGCACTTTGATAGTTATTAGTACTACCAGCATTGTTTTTATGGTATAACATCATCGCTTCCAATCCAGGAGACTGTGATAGTGCAAATTGAACCCCACACACCCCTCCCAAAAGCCATCCTCTACATAACGTTTATTATTTACAATAAAAAATTTTTAAGCCCAAATTTTTTTTGTTCCGTGTTTGTTCCTAACATGCAGACCCCTCAGAAACAAATGTTATTTCAAACCCATTTCAAACTGGTGATTTCCTTTGCCTACCGGGTGCAATAACCCTCAGCCCTCGGAAAAAACAAGGAAGGACCTTAACCTAAATCCTGCATATTTGGTAGGGATGCCGGGGGGCATAGGGTTGGGAGCAGCGGGGAGGGAGGGAGAGGAGAGGACATACTTAACCACGAGCATTAATGAGTCTGAACATAATCTTTTGCAGAGCATCCCCGCTCTGGCAGGTTTGGCATCTGCCTCCAGATGCATCTCTGCAGAAAGAGGGACCTGTCTTTGGACACAGCTGGAAACGCAAACCACGCAGGCGAGGGAGGAGGAACAAAGGGGCTGTGGAGTAACTTTTTTTTTTCTTGTTTTCATTGAGCTAGCTAGGATTATTGAGGCAACAACGGAAAGAGACCGCTCCCGAGCTTTGGGAGGACCGGCTATCCCGTCGGGCTACGGCGGCTCCCCCGGCCCCGGCCCCTGTCCCATTCGCACCGCTCCCCCGCCACAGACAAGACCCATCGCCAAAGCCTCGCGCAAAACCGCGTTTGAGGAAAAACAAACAAACAAACAAACAAGAAAAACCCAGAAAAAAATATCAAAGCAAACAAACAAAAAAAACCCAAATCCAAGCCAACCAAAGAAAAAGTTCCCCACACCAAACCACCGCCGACCTCATTCATTACCAAGCCAAGGAAAAGAAAGAAAAGCATAAAGTAATGAAAAAAGACCCAAACCAAACGTAGTATCATCATCACCGACAGTTTCGCCTTCCGGGTTTGTTGGTCGGTTTTGTTTTCCTTCGGAAAGTTGTGACTTAGGTTTCTCGGTTTGTGGTTGTTGCTGTCACGGTATTTATTGGTGTGTGTCTGTGTGTGTTTACGCTTTAAGTTGCGCTTTCTCCCGCTTTCTGTCAGGGGTGGGGGGTAGAGGGGGAATGGGCCCGCAGAAGTGACCCCCGTGGGTTTCCAAAGCGTTTTTACCTCCTCTCTCCTCTTCTCGTTGATGTCCCGGTGTCTTTTTTGTTTTAATAATTGATAGCGCACCCCCCTCACACACGCACACCCCCCCCCCCTCTCCCCGACTAGTTCGCCTTTAGTTTCTACATCGTCCCGTGGTCCCCAGGAGCCTCCCACGGCGTCTCAGGCGACGGTGGCGGTGCGTGGGCGTCCCCCGCGGCCCCGGCCCGGCCCCCCCCCCCCGGTGCCCCCGATGCTGGGGCCGCCCCTCCCGCCCGCCCCTAATAGGTGGCGGAAAATTTCATCCGTTTCTGCTTCTGTCTCTGGTTGCAAAACCAAACCCGCACCACGTTCTTTTTGAGGTCCAATTTCTCGGCGATGGCGGCGATCTTCTCGGAGGAGGGCCGGGGCTGGACGGCGAAGTACGCCTCCAGTGAGCGCTTCTCTGGGGCGGCGATGGAAGTCCGCTTGCGCTTCTTCTCGCCCCCGTTGAAGAGCTCGGGCTTGTTCATTTTTTCCCGCTGGGCGCCCTCGGCCTCCTCCAGCCAGGCCTGCAGGATGGGTTTGAGGGCGATCATATTGTTGTGGGAGAGGGTGAGGGACTCGAAGCGGCAGATGGTGCTCTGGCTGAGGGAGCCCACCCCCGGGATCTTCAGGTTGGCCAGAGCCGAGCCCACGTCGGCCTGGGTCACCCCCAGCTTGATGCGGCGCTGCTTGAAGCGCTCGGCGAAGGCCTCCAGCTCTCGTGGGTCCGTGTCCGAGTCGCAGATGGAGGCCAGGCCGGCCGCCCCCACCACCGCCGCCGCCGAGGCCACTTGCCCCGCGGCCCCGTGGTGCGCGGCCACCAGCCCCGGGTGCGGCAGCCCCGACGGCATGTTCATGGCGGCCGGGTGCGAGAGGTGGCCCAGACCGTGCATGTGCGAGTGCGGGTGGGCCGAGGTGGAGATGAGGCCGCCGCCGCCTCCGCCGCCGCCGCCGCCGCCCCCGCCGCCGCCGGCCCCGCCGCCGCCGCCGCCCGCCCCGTCGTGGCCGCCGCCGCCGCCGCCTCCGCCGCCGCCGCCGCCGGGCATGAGCGCGAGGGACGGGGAGGTGATGTGGTCGAGGAGGTCGCCGGGCTCCAGCGCCTGGTGATGGTGGTGGTGGTGATGATGGTGGTGTGCCAGGGGCACGGTGGAGGTGGAGGTGCAGGGCACACTGTTCATGGTGTGGTATGTGGCGTCGGGCTTGAACGGGTGGCTCTTGCCCTGAGAGACAGCGATGTCGACGGCGGCCAGAGCCTCGGCCCGCGCCAGCAGGGTCTCATCGAGGCTGGCGAAGATATTGCTCTGCAGCTGCAGGAGACACAAAACAGAGCGGGGTGCAGGGAGAGAAGGGCAAGGGGGCAGAGATGGGGCAAAGCACGGAGGGGGAAAGGGACGGGCGGGGGCGAGCGTGGGGTTGCGGGAGCGCCGTGGGAAAGGAGGTGGAAAGTTGATGGAGGGGAGTGAGAGGTGGGCAAAGTTGGGGTGATCGTACGGGCGGGGAGCCGACAGTAGGATGAGCGTGTAAAGGGGCACGGGGTGGTGGCGGTGGGGAGCCAAGAGGTTAGGGAAGCGTGGTATAGCAGGCGACAGCACGGGGAAGTGAGGAGAAACAGGGGATGGGGTACAATAATGGAGGGGGGAGTGCGGGGGGTGGGGGGAAAGCAAGGAGAGAGCAAAAGAGGAAAAGAAGAGGCGAAGAGTAGAAAGGGCAGGAAGCAAGGGGGAATCCGAAAAGGAGAGGAGGAGGGAGTGAAGGGAAAAAATAAATTGAAAGGAGAGAAATGGAACGAAAGGAGAAAAGAAAGGAGGAGAAGAAACGGATCTGTAACTCTCAGCTGGGGAATTGTGTCAAACACAAGAGCACATAAAACGCATTCCTTTTCAGAGGCCGAGTCATAAAAATTAATACAGAAAGTGGATGAAGTCGGAGACTCGTGTGAACACCGCTTTCAAAAAAGATCACAGGCGCTCAGATGATTGCAGAGGAAGACATGAAAAAAACATTAAGCGCCGCTTGTCAAAATGTGCCTCGCAGCGTTTTTTTATTAATGCACATACACATACATGCAGTATACAGAAAAGAGAGAGAGAGAAAGAAAGAAAAGTGCGTGCGTGTGTAAAAAAGAGAGAAAGAGAGAAAGAAAGAAAGAAGAGAGCTGCAGCTATCTATCCCTTACCGGTGGAGTTGGTAGACATGCTCTTCTTATTGCTTCCGAGCTGGAGTGTAGAGTGGGGTATTTGTGCTCAGGTAGGGTGGGATGCATGGCAAAATGCGGCTGTTTGCTATTCATGGACATCATCTTGAAGGCTTGGCATGTAAATCCACAAACACTCCTAAAGTCGGGGGAAAAGTGCTCTCCGGGCTCTCTCCTCCCGCCGGGGGAAGCCGCTGACAGCGGTGACGGAGCCGGTGGTGGCGGCGGTGCCGCAGCGGACCCTGCCCCCGCCGCCGCTGCTGCCGCGGTGGCCGGGGCTGGGGTGGGTGGGCGAGCGGGCGGCGAGGCTCCCTCCGGCCCCCGCCGTCTCCCTCACTCCCTCCCTCCCTCCCTCTCTCAGTCCTCTGCCTGCCGCTGCCCGGCGCCGGGCGCGCTGCGCTGCGCTCTGCCCGCACCTGAGCCCCGCATCCCGTGGCTACCGCCGGGCGGGCTCTCGCGAGAGCGCGGCTCCGGCTTTGACAGACATCAGCTGTCTCCCCCCCTTCTCCTTCCCCTTCTCCCTCCTCCTTTTCCTCCTCCTCCTCCTCCTCCTCCTCCTTCTTCTTTTCCTCCCGCCGCCCCCGCTCCCTGCCTCCTCGCGCCTTGTTGCATTTCCCGCAGCCCTCGCCCGTCTCGCCGGGGCGGCGGCGGCGGGGCCGCTCTTATAGAGAACGACACCGAGCACCGGCGGCTGCGGCACCTGTGGCTGCCACACGTGCGCGCTGCGCGGCCGCCGGCGCGGCCCGGGGCGCCCCGATGGGGCGGGGATGGGCGGGGTGCGGGGCAGGGCGCCCCTTCTCTGCCCTCGGAGCGGCGGGGGGAACCAGCCCGGCCCCCAGCACTGAAACACAAAGGTGCGCTGCCCCTCCGCGCTGCGGAGCCCCGTCACAGAAAGGGGCGTCCTCCGGCCGCTCCCCGCTCCTGCCGCGAAATGTACACCGGCTCCTGGAGAAGAACTGCGGTGGTAGACATTTGTTTGAACCGCTCAGAGACTATGGTTTTCCCTGTAATTTAATTTCCCCTCACCTCGCGTAGTTTTAGTGAACATACTGCTGTTCCAGGTGCCGCGGGTGACAGCCGCTGCGCCCACGCGGGGCGTGTGTGCGTGTGCGCTCTGCACGGGCAGCGCCGCTGAGGTGAGACTGTGCATCTCCTCCTGCTACCCAGCCCCAACTCCGCTCCGTGGGAAAACTCAAGTTTCACTGGCGTGGCCTGAAGCAGAAAACAATCACAAACAGAATCTTTCCTTCTTTTCTTTCTTTCTTTTCTTTCTTTCTTTTTTCTTTCTTTTTCTCTTTCTTTTTCTTTCCTTTTCTTTCTCTTTCTTTCTTTCTTTCTTTCTTTCTTTCTTTCTTTCTTTCTTTCTTTCTTTCTTTCTCTCTTTCTTTCTTTCTTTCCTTCTTTCCTTCTTTCCTTCTTTCTTTCTTTCTTTCTATCTTTCTATCTTTCTTTCTATCTTTCTTTCTCTCTTTCTTTCTTTTTCTTTATTCTTTCTTTTTTCTTTTTTTTCTTTCTTTCTTTCACTCTTTCTTTCTCTCTCTCTCTTCCTTTCTCTCTCCCTTTCTCCCTCCCTTCGTTCCTTCATATCTTTCTCTGCATTTTTCTCTCTTCTCTCCTCTCCCTCCCGTTTCAGTGGTTTATTCTTTGAATACTCTTGCATTTGAACCAGTTAAGGGTTCACACCAGGGTTAATAGTGCACTATTATGTTCCGTTTTAGAGTAGATTCAGTTTTTTCTTGGAGTTGTTTATGGAGTTGGAGGCAAAACTGTGGAAGCAGTGAATCTGCTACTGTGCCTGCGAGATTAATGTGGATTCTTAGCGAACGGCCCAAGGTGAATCCTGTCCCCTGGGGCACGCTGGAGCCGTCCCTCGGTGACTGACCAGATGCTACGTTGTTTGTTCCGGCAGGGCTGCGGGCAGGCAAGCCGCGGGGAGAGGCAGCAGGATATTTGGATCAGGGATGTGACAGCCTGGGAGTGCAACGGAATTGTTCTGTTTCTCCTGAACGCTTCTTATTTATGCGCATAAACACAGCCGAAATGGCACGCAGGCAAACGCGCACACAGGCACACACACACACTCGAATGCACATACACACAGAGCACATGCCACAACCCCAGGTGAAGTCCACATCTGTCTTCATAAGCCCTTTCCTAGCTCCCCAGCCAGTCCAGGAGGAAGGAGGGAACGACTGCGAATTACTTGTGCGAGGGGGAGCCAGGTCTCCATCCATTACTGCGTCCCCTGGGGTATCGGAATGCAACTTCATCTCTGAAGAGGGTGTAACTTGAAACTGGGCTTGGATTCCCCTTATTTATCGACATCATTGTATCAGAATCGACAAACCATACTTCATATGTATTTATTTCTTTTTTTTTTTCTTTTTTAAAGTTATATGACTTATTCCAGCTACTTCTAAGCTATCATGGCTTGTAAAGGAAAAGCCACCTGGGGAAGGGATGGGGAGCAGTAGGAAAGCGGGAGACATCACCGTTTTTCTCCAAAATTGCTGAAAAGTGCCCAGAGGCAGGAGAAAGGCCCGAGCCGAGCAGCCTGTCGTTCCCACTCAACGGCGAGATCAAGCCCATGGCACGCACCAGGGGGCTCCTGGGCAGACCCCGACGGGGAAGGGAGACAGATAGTGGTGATCACGTCCTCGTCCCTTGGAGGAAGGAGTGGAATGCTGTTCCGCCTGGGATGCGTGGGTGTTTGTCAGTGCGGCTCTGCGCGTACCCCGCTCTCCAGGATGCTGTCAGGCCAAGTACACCAGGTTTCCCTAAGGAAAACATTGAGAGGAGGGAAAATTGTGCAAGTGATGGCAAAGGCTGCCGAGAGGAGGATTTCCAGGCTAAGCGGTGACCTTTTATGCCCACATACAGCGGGGACCTGCTTTGCCGCTGCGGCCGGGTCTTTAACCTCTGGGCTGGCAGGGGTTGGGCCGAGGCAGCGAGGGCAGGCAGGGAGGGCAGGCAGCCACCAGCGGGATGGGGATGGGAGGCTCGGGCAGGTACTGCTGGACGAGACTTTCTCCTTGGCTGGAGGAACTTCAACCCCGCCAGTGCTTTTAAAACGACCCCTTCTGTTCACAGGCTTATTTTTTTTTCGGCCGGAAAGGCAGGGAATTCAGCCCCACTCACACCTCCGCCCTAGCGCCAGCCGGAGGCTAAGGAGGTGAGGACCTTTAGAAGTTCTAAGGGTCCTGTCCCACCTCTCCAGTGTCTTCTGGACGCCGGGTTGTGGGTGGGCACGCTGTTTCTGCAGCTTGCGATATGCGTCCTGCTGGATACTCCTCGGGGATGAAGCAGTCCCGCCCGGCTGGAGAGACACCCCCTCTCAAAGGCTCCTCGCTCCAGTCACAGAAACTGCTCGGGCCTCTGTCACCGCGGCTGCCCGAGGGACGGGGCTGGCAAAGCCTCCGGACCCCGGGGAGGAGGCGGGCTGCTGGTGCCTCCTGGGGAGGCTGCCGCCGGCCCCCGCCCATTCCCTCCTGCTGCCCCGGAGGCAGAAGCCTCCGTATGGACTTGCAGCCAAGATTTCCCTCTGTCTAATTTTTCGGGAGAAGGGAGGAGCAGAACAAGAGGGTTTTAGGGCACTGCTTGGTCTGTCACCTATCAAGTCCAGGAGGTAAAACTTCCCTTCGCAGTCCTTGGAACAATTTTTTTTTTAAATTTTTTTTATGAAGAGGTGAAGCACTAACTTCACGCTAACTTTTAAAGCAACGCTCAAAATTAGAGCCCGACCTTAATTCCCGCTCCAGCGTCGTAGCCCTTCTGCTCCCCTACACCGAGTGCAGGGGCTGCTGCCCAGGGGGATTCCCCTGGGCACGCCGGGGATCAGCCGCCCATGTCACCAGCCCTCGGCGGCCCCTCCTCTCCCCACCACACACAGCCAGCTCCCCGAGCAGACGGCTTGAGCCAGGCTCAGAATCGCACGGGCCTGGTAATAGATTTTATCTTAATGTTCGCTCTTATTTCTATTCCTCGTGGGTACGTCCAGCCTCATGAATACTGATGGCAATAAACTCGCAGGCTTTGAGGAGCGAGTTCATTGGCGACACGACCATGCTGTAGCCCTACTTTTATGGCCCGAGATGCTCAGTAAAGCGAAGGAGGCATATAGATATATATATATAACGCATTTACATGTCTCCCGCAGTTTTATCCGGCTTCAAATGCAAGAAATAGGCAGATTTCCTTAATTGACTGAACAACCTATCTCGAGAAAGTAATAAAGTAACCCCTTATTCCCACAGTGAAACGATTTATAAATTAATTACTGTAACCCATTGTATTTGATTTCTCTTTTAGGATTCCCCAAAGATAAATATACTAAAGTTTATGATATTAAGTATTAACGTCTGATCATAGTTTGCTGTGTATCTCGACTTTTAAAAAAATGTTAATGTGGATCTCACGACTCACTCTAAACCTTCTGGATATTTTTATTTCACCAAATGTTAGCTTTACATTTTGTAGTCGCAGTATTTGTCCTACCCCGAGTGTCAGTGGGAGCACTGAGAGAAAACCTACAGTACATGTGTTATTTGGTGAAGTTCACAGAAAGTCAATGTACTATCTAGTGTAAAAGTTATTTTCCATTCAGATGATAAAAATTAACCTTCAGAAGAAAAAAAAACGTTAAAAGAACCACAACAAAACCCAACCAACCCTTTGGGTGAATGCACAAAAAGTATTTCCTTGTCCTAATGAGGACCTTCCTTACATCAGCAAAGATCTGCTAATTACTGATGTACAAGCCGCAATAATTGCTTTTGCAGCCAAAGTGTAGAATGTTGTCATATTAAAAATTGAAACGCTTGATGGTGATTTAAGTCCCAAGGTAGTTCACAACGTCCCCTTTCGGGTAAGGAAGGAGACCGGAGGAGCCAGGCAGAGGTCCGGTGAAAAACACTGCAGGTCCTGTCGGTAGTAAAGTTTCTCGCTCTTTCGTAAAAGTGATGCAGAGGAATTACAAGCCAACCAAGATGCCCCTCCAGCAAAACACCTCCCAGACCCCGCTCGCTTTTCACACCCGCTATGTGGGCAAACCAGTTGCTGGCCCGCGCTCTCGCTCTAAGGACGCCACATTTCGATGGGTTAGCCTGAAAACGCAGCCTTCCTCTTCCCAGAAAGACACGGAGAGGGGTCGGAAGGGGCAGGGGTCGGTCGTCAGCCGCGTCTCACCGCGCTCCGGGGTCCGCTTGGCTGCTCAAACAGAGAGCAGAGCATTCGGCTTCCCCCGTCCCCCCGCGCGAATCAAAGCACCTTCCGAGGGGCTGGGAAGTAGTTGCCTTGTCATGTAACACATTGCCCTGATTTATTATAAAATTTTAACGAAATCATGCATATTTTAACAGCCTTTAATCACTGCATGAAAATTTAATTCATGAACTGTAGCGCGTTTAAATAAATGAAGTGTTAATTCATTAGGATTAATTAATTTGTTAAAGGATTGTGTGCAAGGTTAAGGTGGAATAAAAACTCTTTGTTAGTTTCGAGTCTTAATCACCGGGTTTTGTTAACAATGAAGGTGGGAAAAAAAACAAAACAAATCCGAGACCTGGGTTTGCGTGGGGTGGGGGAGCCGGGGGAGGGCAACACCATTACTTCTCTCCCCAAAATTTGGAGACAGCTCTAAGGCGGATAGGTAAAAACAAAAACAAAAACAAAAACAAAACAAAAAACTCTGACATCATTTTCTGTGAGGTTCGGATGCCCGTGTAGCCATCCAGTCCTGTAGCTGGTCCCCACTGCTTTCCCAGGCATGCACCAAGCAGAGAGTGATCTGGGAAAGGGACAGGGACCCTTCTCATCCGTGCCTGGTCCTCGGGTTCCCCTGGCACATTCTGCTGGCTTGAAACCGGCACCCCGATGGCCCAACGAGCATCAGGTAGGAGTGTCAGCTGCCCAGTAGGTAGCTTGACTGCTTGTCCACCTAGCTTCCCTGAAAACCAGCAGACCGCACCCACACTGCCTCTAAGAGCTTTAGAGAGGAGACTGCTTTCTATTGAGAAAAGCCAAAGAAACCAGAATACAGTTTCATCCTCTGCTGCTATCTCTCACTACATTCACAGCTGTCAAAGCACACACAAGCTTTCTCCTGCGCCAGCTGTGCTTTCCCCTCCATCCTTCAGCCAATGATGATGGCTTTTCCAGTTAGAGCTAAGGGACACTGAGGCAGTAGCTCAACTTTGGACCACAAAGACAAGACAGACAGGCCACCCCTTTAGACCAGGCCTGAAAAGTGGGTGGCTTGTCACAGCAGTAGACTTGTCACTGCTGCAAGGAACAAAGGCACAGGAAGGGTTGGACCTGCGTTACTAGCCAGCAGGGAAATCCTTGGAATAATCATGAATCTCTATATTGAGTTACCTTAGAGCTGCTCTTCCTCTCACCCAAACCTGGGAAGGAGGAAGTGGAAGCCTTAGTCTATGTACACAGGTCCTATGCCAAAAAGCAGCAAGGAAGGAGTGTCCCCAGTTTGCAAAACATTTATCATAATCACAGCACAGCAGATGTGTGCAAAGACTGCATTTCAAGCCTGTGGTTGCTAGGAGTCAGAGGCATGACTTTGATGCTGTGCAAAGATTAGGATCAGACTCAGTCAGTTAAACTGCCTTTAAATGGCATTGCTGGGTGAGAGAAACAGTGAATGCTGAAGGATGGGAGACCCAAGTTAGCACACCTTGTATTGTGCATACAAGCTACACATTGTCCCCTTTCCCCCTTTTAAAGGATACTTCACAAAGAGATAATAAAGCACATTTAAAACCAAACACACCTCAAGTCACTATCTGGTGCTGGTATGCAGAGATGTTCTGGCAGCCCTCACCCAAGGAAGCAATACCAAGCAGAACTGGGCTACCACAAGGCCTTTAGGGAATCATGGAGAAGCAGGTCACTTGCTAGACTTCATGTAGGTGAAAAACTGCCAATAACAAAGTAAAAACCTGACCTTGGCATTCTTGCTCTTACGTATAATCCAGTAGATTTCACTGGCAACAAACCTAGGCTGGTAGCAAACTCATTTTTCTGTGTTACCTATTGTCCTGGAGAGCATTCTTCCATGTTAAAATCTGCAAGTTGACTTGTATTTAGTATAGGAAGTATTATTAGAGGAAGTAAAAATTTTATGACCTATTAAATATCATTAGACATCATAGATCTCTTCTGTACATCCCTTTGAAATATCTATTGTCAAAAATTAGCAGCAACGCACTCTAGTTTAGGCTGTTTTATTAAATGCAGAAAGAGATTAAGTAAGCCCAGCATCGACAGAACTCAACCTGGAGAACTGAAAGAAACCCCATGTACAGCTGACAAATTTATAAGTGAAGAAACCCTAGTCATTACATATAGTTGAAATTTTTGAGTTAATATCGCATTGATCACACTACCAATTTTAAGCCAAAAGGAATCTATATGAACCAAATAAGACAAGGATTCAGAACAGTTTCAGCTTTACAACTTGTGACACATAAAATGCTCCTACTTACAGCACTGGATGCAATCACAATCTGCTCACTATAGCTCTGGCTGAGATCTGAGAGTATGAGAGAGCTTGGAATTCATTAATTACATAGTTCATTCTTGCAACTATGTAGAAAGTTACCAGCCCAGAGTTGGGAGGCTGTACACGACAATATATGAGCTCCCACAACCATTCCAAGCAAAAAGCCAGCACTCAGCCTGATGGCCTTTTCCCTTTCCCATCTTGAGAGTAAGAAATTTACAACCTCAATTTTCAGCATTTAACCTTGGGCTCAGCTCTTCTATCCATTCAAGTTGCATGATATGTACAGTCAAAATATGTGTATTGAAGAGCAAGCCTGTATGTGATGTTCCTGCCCCAAAGACTACAAAGTAGCATAAAAACCCTCCACTGTTCTCCTTTATTTTAGTTCAATTTCAGGCATGACACCAGTTATATTCATATTTCCATAACTGAAAGTGAAAAATGAAAAAGCAGAGTCTAAAATGAAGCCCATAAATGCACCCCCCCAATGCCACAATGAAACAAACCCACAAACTATAGCACTTATTTACTGTGTATTTGTGATTGTTCTGTAACGCAAGGATGTTTTAAGAAAGTGTTTGTGGCAGCATTTTTTGATTTATTAGTAAAACTAGCCAAATCAAGTAACAGCTCATGTCCAGATAGTGTTGAAAGCTCCCTAATTTCTGAATATATTAAAATTGAACAACTAGATTTTTCTGTGAAGATTAAAATTCAAGTGTACATGAAAGCACAATGCCATCCTGCCTTGTCATCAGGAAAGAGTCTTTGCATGTATGGCTTGAACAATGATTTTTTGGTAAAGCTCAAAAAAGAAAAATCACAGTTTAGAATGAACACAATTACATAAATGCATGCCCACATTACAATGTGAAATGCAGTTCTTGTTCAAACAACTTACAGGACTTTACTCTACAAAAGATGAGCCAGTCTACTGAAAGTTTCTAAGTGGCTATCACTCTTTCCAAAGGGAGAAAGGGTAGTGTATGGATTTTTTATATCATAGGTATTGATGAAGCGAGGACGTCTGTTTCTAAGAAACGCCATCAGAGGCCTATATAGAAAGAAAAACCCTGCATCTTGTAATTAAATATGCCCTTAAAAAAACCCACAATAATGCAAAGAAACCAATTTTGCTCTGCTGCTTAATTAGGTCTCCTGCCTGTGGCAGGCCATCACATTATGTTGACCTATGCAATACTTTATGGAAAAGTCACCTCCAGAGAGGCCGAAAGCCATTTCCATCAACTGTATCGATGCTGACACTAGAATGGTAGTATGTCTAACAAGGAGGAGGAAGGGAGATTTTTTTTTTTTTATGAATAAGCTCACATCATGCTTTACCAAACTTAAGATATCTATTTTCCAAATTAGGAAAAAAAAGTTTCCCCCTTTTTCTTTTTTTCCTAATTCAATATTTGAGGCAACATCAAGGATTACAGCACTTATAACATGTTTTATTCAATTCACATAGAAAAGCATGCAGTATTAATGTGAAATGGTACAGTATTAATGTAAGATGTTCAGTGCACATTAGGTAAACAAGTTATTAGCATACAAACCCATTTTTATTGTCTATACAGGCATACTAAACACACTTAGAATAACAATGCTTTCTGGGAACTAAATTAAAAATTGTGCTTAACTTCAAAAAAAAAACAAACCATGACTGCAGTGTTAAAGAAGAGATGTTTTCTAACTGAAGTGCTGTAACCCTAAAAAGAAAGAGGTTGCTATCTTACACCCACCTAAAACAAGAGCTTCAGCACAGTACAGTGCTATGAAACAGTTTGAGCAGCAACATTTCCTCTGGGAGGAAAGTTTTATGGCAAAACTGACATTGTTTTATAGCAAATTCATGAATCCATAGGATATATAGCCAGTAGCTGCCTTACACGCAAAAAACTGCAATCTTTAGGAACAGGAAACGTAACCTTTAATTATCACAGGAATGACTGATTTGCTAAGTCCACTTAGAACTTCCTGTTGAAGGAAGCCATTAGCTGTGCTCACAACTGGAAGAGCATGTAATCTGAAAACAAAAGAACATCCAAAACCCCCAAACTTCCAAGTACATAAAATGCCCAGTCAAAGAAAATAATCTGGAATGGTTCTTCCCTAGGAAATATCTTGCAATGGGCAAGGGAATATTTGGTTTTCACATAGCTGAAAATAAGAGGATCAGATTGCATGGAAGTTATTAAAAATTCAGTTCACCTGTAAATATTACACATTTGCAGATTTATCACTTTAAATCACATTTGATTTTCAAGCAGAGTCAGTTTTTGGTGGTTTTTGATGGACTAGCACTGGAAAGGCTGCTTTGAATTTTCCTCTTGGTTGACTGACTGACATTTTTATTCTTTCTTTCAGCTGTAAAGGAAGACACCCAAGGAGGACTAAGCTGACTGTGCAGATCAGATGACATCTTTAAAAAACAGCAACCAAGCTTTTGTTCCTCAAACAACCTTTGTGAGTTACTGAACGGTACACTTGGGGAAAAGTCCCTTTGAAATAAAGAGTTTGGAGGTTTGCTACCACTAGCCACTGCGTTTTGGCCTGTAAACAGTGGAAAGTGGTCATTCATATCTAGGTCAGATGGGGAGAGGTTGGAAAACATAACAGGTTTCCAGCCAGTTCTATCATTTGCTAGATTGCTTGTCTCTGGACACTTCATTGTCTGTTCCTCATTCATTTCTTCCAGTTTCTTCTCAGTTCCATTCAGAAGCTTAGGGCACTCTGTTGACTTTGAAGAATTATCAAGGTCAGAGGACTTGAAATTATAGCATGGACTCTTGCTGTTGTCCGACTCAGACATCATTGAGTCCAACTCAGAAATTTTATCAAGGTAGGCAGCATCCATAGATGCCTCACTGGAGGTTCTTGTGCGATTCATTTCTGAAGAGCAGAGAGTATGTAGCCTTTTAGGTAAGCAAGTACTTGTTTTATCACTGGACTTCGCTGTTGTCTCATCTGACTGATCAGCTACTGAATTTTGCTCCGATTCATCAAAATCTAAGTTCTCAGCAAAATCTGTTGGGCAGGTGCCCCAAAACCCTGATTTTCCTGTAGTAAAACAGTTTAGCTTCTTTTGACTATTACAGCTGCTTGTGCTGTGTTCAGGAGAAGCTTTGCTGCCACCATCTGAAGTTCCACGAAACTCTTCGAATTTCAGTTTTCTCAGGAATGTTGATGGTTTTCTTGCATTTTCTTTTCCATCAGGAGTGTTCAACTGAAGGCGACTGAGAGACAAAAAAGGTGTGCATGGTGGTGGAAGATCATAAAGTTCTTCATCCTTATATGGGGTACATTCCTCAATTTTACTCCACTGCTCTTCTAAGCAGGCATCCATATTTGTACTATTTTCATCCAGGACAACCCTGTGACATCCTGGAAATAGTTCTTTCTGTGTGGCACACTGGGTATTTGAGCTATTCAAACTATCTTGACTAGAAGAGATTAAACAAGTTCCACGACTTGCCAGCTGTTCAAGACTGTCAGGACTTTGACTGGTATTCAAAGCTTTTTTCTCCTCAACTTGGGTTTTCAAAGAAGTTGCATCTTCACTGCTCTCACCTCCTTCAGCATCTGTGGAAAGTGCTCTCTCCCTAACAGCACTCACTGTTTGGCTTCCTTTGCCTGCATTTTTCAGCTGTAAAAGCTGACATTCCATTTCTTCTATGTATTTATCACTTCTTTCCAGTGCCTTTTTCAGACGGTTCATTTCACGTTCACTTTGTTCCACTTTGGACTGAAGTGCAGCTACTGTAAACCTACCAAACCTGCAATAAGTAAAAAAGAAAGAAAATATTAAGCTGGAAAAAGACATTCTCATGATGCTTTGCAAGCTTATTTCAAGACAGAGCAAAGCTATTAGACACTGTGTTAATTTGAAAAGTCATAACTTTTCTCTGCTAGTTATGAAAAAATACTAAAATCATCACAAATAACATACAGGTGGAGGTGATACGTAAAAAGACAAAATTAAAAAATTAGTGGTGGCAAGGCAATAACAAGCAGATTAGACTTCCAGGGGCTGGTTCTATCAATTCAACTCAAATATGCATGAAGAATTATCCCCTAAAACAATGGCAAAGATTTATGATAACATTTGAACAGTGGTCCACATCTTGAAATATTTACATTCAATCATTTTCCTACAGTACAGCAGTGTTTTACAACACATTTCTTTCACAATGTCACCTTGTCAAATACAAAATGCCAATATGAAACGTAGAAAATGCAGTAGTCCTTTGAGGTGGTTTAAATACTTATATAGACCATTTCAATTACGTTCCTGTTAGATATACAGCTTTTCCTTACCTGTTCTGCAGATGGTATATCCACTTACTTCAGAGTTACTTGTTTTTTGAACTTTACAACCAGAACAATCTAATTTCTACCTTGACTCCAATACAAAAACCTGCCACTTGCGGTTTGTGAAAGTTATGTGCTTGTGGGGCTTCCAGCTTGAGCACATTTCCAACTGCCAAGATACGGACTTGCCTTCCCCCCGTCCTCCATCAGCTTTCAAGACTGACCTTCCCCAGAGGGCAGGTGAAGGTTTCAGCTATATGCCCTGACTAATTCTAACCTGTCACTGACAGGTGAGCACCAGGGAATTCCCTGCTCCATCCAAGGCTTTCAATTTATAGAAAGAAAAAACAATTAAAGTTCTGGTATTATTAGAAAGGAGGGAAGGACCTACAGCCACCCTACAACTCTGACAAATAAGGTTTTATATCACAAAGAAATGACAATTCTGTATGTGGGCTTAAATCTCCACCTCCTATCTTGCAGCTCTGTGTTACAGCATAAGTTTATATTCATTCTTCCAGCACAAACACTGCCTGGAATTTCTACCTTTTTTCTTTGCCTGTCTGCCTGTCCCTCCCTCAGAGTCACAGTGAATTTACATTCCATTTTCCCCATTCCATCCCCTCATCTCTTCACAAAATGCTCCCACTGCAACCCTTAGACCAGTGAAATCTGAAGGTGGTATGTCTGTGGCCTGCAACTATGCTGGCAAAATATCCATGGATCCAGGCATGCATTTCCAGCAAACAATCAAACTGTATTCTATTTCTTCTAATTCATGAGCCCAAAGCAGCAAGAAACTGTTGTATGCTGACAACTGCAATACAGTTAAGTGGGCAGTTGGAGAAAGGAATAACGGGTATCACAAGCCCCAGACAAATTGGGCACAAGTGACCAAGATCTACTGATATATTTCACTATTCAACTGTTTCTGCATATTTGAAGAACTCTGAAGACTTTAGTGTAGATGGTTCAGTGGTGGGTAAGACTCACACAGTAGTCTGTCACAGCACTGCTACTAGATGACTTTTTAAATCAGATCAGCCTAAGGTTCACACAGTTTTGGTATGTGCCACTCACTGCCTTGTTGACAAAAAATGCCAAGATAGAAGATTTATATTTAGTAAGATTTTTTTTCCCCCTACAAGAAGCTGGCTGGACTGGAACTCAGTCGAGGCAAGGATACCCCCCCCCTCCACAGTAGCTCTACTCAATTTTCTTTGTCTTCATAAAACAGAAGACAGAACATTTTTCATTTGCTTACGCTCTGGATAACAAGTTTTCTCAATCGATTATAGCAGTTTCTCCACTTCTAGCTGCACACAAGAGGGGAATGGGAGAAAAGGCACGGACAACTTTCTGTCTCCCATATGAAACTAGATAAAAGCAGAATCACAGCTCAAGAATGTTTCCATTATATTGTCAGGTGAAGGGGGTCACATGAAATAAGCATCCTCCTATACAACACATTTTGGCTTATTTCCTCCTTTAGTTAAAGGAACACAGATTTTGCTTTATGATACGGAAGGAGTCAGTGTAGCACAGCAGGGCGCAAGTAAGACCTTTCACACTTCCTAAGATGATCCAAAAGTATTTATTTTGCCCTTCTCTAACAGACCTGTTCACATAGTCTTACAGGTGCAAATGCTACACTGCTTAATAAAAGATAGAAAGATGATGCAAAAATACAATTTAGCTGAATAGCCAAGTGAGAGAAAGGGAAAAATGCTTCTGCAAAATAAGCAAGATTTTCTCGAGTCTGCTGTAACAAACACTGACATAAAAATTAAAACATGTTTACATTTATATGCATACCTGGTAATTCCTTTTTAATGGAAGAATGGTGTAATATGTTTATTTAATGCAAATAGCATTAGTGACAGTCTGGGATTTGCTTATGAGGAAGAAGCACTGTATTCTCAAGTGTAACTTTTATAACAAGTGTCCTCAGGTTAAAAAAATACAGTATGTTGTTCAAAGGCAAATAGCATCACTAATATGTTAATTGTTGCAGAGGGATGTGCTTGGGAATTTTGGTTTTCAGAAATGGAACATATGACAAGCTGCCTACAAAGTTACTTCTGCAGTTAGGCAAAGAACAGTAATTACTTTCTGTTCCTGCTTTCAGACTTGCCTGCATTTATTTCCCAAATTTTCAAGGACATGGATTTTTAAGACAGCCATATTACTATGCACATATTTAAGCCAATTACTCCAGACCAGAGCATGATATAGATGTTCTAGTGACTGACCTAGCAGGTCAGCAGAGGGCTTAAGACATTCACATTTTGGTTAGAGAAGCCAGATTCCTGCTCATCTCCCCAAACCAAACCACTCATAAAAATTTCCTCTTCTTTTCCCTTCAGATGTACAGTGAGCTGTGCTATAAATGAAAAAATTATGGTCTGATAATAACAATAGAATGCAGTGCAGTTACATGAAAATAAATCTAAGTTTCACCTGACAATCTAGATAAATTTCCTGAAGTATTTGAACTATTTCACACTTAGTAACAAGTGTTAACTTCTTCACTAGAAGTTAAGGTATTCAGTATACATGTGAATACATGTGAATACAGCATACATATACTGAAGGAAAGCCACATCCTCACACATGGACAAAGACTTTTGAGCATTAGTGTCTTGTTCTTCAGTCACATCACTGAAACAATGACTTTGGATCTCAACGCATGGGTTTTAAATGCATCCTTTCTATAGAAAACTGAAAGCCTGCAGAAACAAGTGGTCACTCATAAAGTGAACAGAAAGACATTTCAGGCGGGATTTGGATTCTTCAACACAGAAACTTAATGACGTTTTAGATCACCTAAAATCTTTTACATGACTGCTGACCTCCAGCTATCACTTTGGAAGGATACACATATTCTAGAGACCCTGTATCACAGCCACCAGCCCCAGGAAGGTGTACTGGATATGTTATAGTGTCTGAGCTGATACTGGATGTCTAGATGGAACACTTGAATCCAAAATTTCAGGATCTCTCCTCAGTCAGAGTCCTTTTTCTTGACCCAGCATGATTCTAACTTGACAGAAAGCTACAGTCAGCTCTCCGAGCAAGAAGAACTAACATACAGCGAGCAAGAAGAACTAACACTGTTGGAGTAACTTTCCCGCACATTATCACACAACTGCTCCCTCAGTTATGTTTGAGTACTCCTATCCTGCTTTTGTTTGGGATACAGTTAATTCACTTCACAGTAGCTAGTATGGGCCTATGTTTTGGATTTGTGATGGAAACACTGCTGACAACACAGAGCTGTTTTAGTTACTCCTGTGTAGTTCTTACAACAGAGTCAAAGCTTTTTCTGTCTCTCAACCCATCAGTGAGGAGGCTGGGGGTGCACAAGAAGTTGGGAGGGGACACAGCTGGGACAGCTGACCTCAACTAACCACAGGGATATGCCACACCATAAGGCATTTTGCTCTGAATATAAGCTGGGGGAAGAAGAAGGAAAGGTGTGATGGTGTTTGTTTTCTGAAGTCACAGTTACACGTGATGGAGCCCTGCTTTCTTGGAGATGGCTGAACACCTGTCTGCCTGTGAGAAGTGATGAATGAATTCCTTGTTTTGCTTTGCTTGTGCATGGCTTTTGCTTTCCCTATTCAACTGTCTTTATCTCAACCCATGCGTTTTTTCACTTTTACTTCTCCACTCCTCTACCCTGGGAGGGGAGTAAGTGAGTAGCTGTGTGGGGCTTAGTTGCTGCCTGGGGTTAAACCACGACAACTTCTGAAGAAGTCCACTTAGAAACTGTTGGAAAGTTGAAAAACAAATTTCTTCAGTTGTTTCTTCTCTTCTTATCTATCAGTTCTGCAAATTCAGCTTTAGGGTTTTATTTTCACACATCAGCGACCACTAACACATCTATCTGGTTGAGCCCTTAAGTGATACCAACTCAGTTTAAAACCACAGAGCCTCATACAAACATTTCCCTTTGTGGATAGTAAGTAGCTGCAACAAATTTTTCTTGTATAACCACTTACTGAAGACTGGGGTTGCAAGGATGCTATGGAAATTGACTCTCCAGTTCTAATCACCTGATGGCCCAGGCTGGGGGCCACCCAGCAGCTCAGGATGCAAGAGCATGATCCATACTCCAACGGAAACAAAGAGCGGTGAAAAGTGGAAAATGACAAGGTACAGTCAGGGCCTGTCACAGTTTGAGATAAGGGCAATGCCAGAGTGTACAACCAAACCCAGTTCTGTCATGTAGATACACATTTTCACATTTTCCCTTGGGTTCTGCAGTTAGGTGGGAAGACAGAGGCAGGAAATCTAAGAACAAAGCAGCTGAAAGCCTTAGTAGCTTCTACAGTCCTTCTGTGATATCGTGTACCAGATGTAGCTGCAAGAGAACAAGTTCTGCAATCCCCCTCTACATCACCTATGACAAGTGATCTCAAGTGTCTGCAGATCAGAGAATATCCCAGGTTTTATACAATTGCCTTAAAAGTATGTCATATTTGCACAGGCATGTTTAAGAAGAAAAAAACAGTTACTGTAAGAGAGGGGCCTTTTCCTAGCAAAAAAAAAAAAAAAAAAAGTCAAGACATATACTGTTTGTTGGACGACTGTAGAGCAGCAGGATTTGAACAGAACAGACAAGTCAGGTATGTTCTTTGAAATGAGCTTCTCCTTTCACTTAGGGAATTGGGTGAATTTAGACAAATATGCAAAATCTCTCCAAGCATTTTAACATCTTTCAGTGAAGCAGCACTGGTTTTCCATATAAGAAAGGCAGATTATACCCAGGGTCAGCAAACAGCATAAACCAGAAATAATTACTTCAGAATTAGTAAAAAAAAAAAATCCTACCAGAAAACCCACAAAACTGGCATGTGATCTGAATGTCCTTACCCATCTGCTTAAGTTTTCAGACCTTCACGCCTGGAGTGGGCACTTCCTCAGGATTTAATGCTATGACTTAAGAACTCAGAGTTGTTTTGAAGGCTACTATATTCTCCGTTCTCCTACTTACTTTTAAGGCCACACTGCAGCTGGTCTTTGAAAATGGTCACTCCTCTGGAATAGCAAACTTGTGGAAAGGTAAGAACAGAGCCCAGTTTTCTATCAAGGAAGACAGTAAAGTTCTTACCCTCCGCACCATGGACACAGGTTACTAGAAGCCTATTTGTAGGCTCAGTAAAATGAAGACTAAACTAAAAAGTTTGGCATGAGCAGAAGTATTTGACTTAGATAAAAATTCAATGTAGTAACAAATGACCCAAAAAGTCAACAGCCTTAGATTTCTGAAAGTACTTGATGTTAAAATCTAGACAAGATAAACAGTAAAACTGGAGATGGAGAACCTCTCCTCCCTCCTCAAACTACAACAATAAAACAAAATCAGAGAAAAGAGATAATGCAACAATTTTGTGCATTTTACAGATAGTTTTTCAGACTGGGATTTTAACTGGCAGAAGGAATTAAATATTTAGGGAAAAGGCTCCTAGGAAGCCTAGAAGTCTGGTTCAAGCTAATTTGAATCTAACCATTCATAAAATACACTATACCCTGGAGTAGATGGACTTGCTAGTTATTTTCCTTCAGGTAAAAAGCAAACATCCTTTTGCCAAAAATGCTTTTAGATCCACTGTGCCTTGCCAATAGACGTAACAGTTTTCTATTTTAAGTAGAGCTGGAATTAATAGGGCTTTATCATCCTGCAAAACTTAAGTTTTAGAAGTTTTCTTGTTCCCCATTGGGAAAACGAAAGTTACTGAGAATTCATCAGGAGAAAGGGTAAACAAAGAGCAAACAACAGCCACCAATCAGTCTGATTTGCCTGAGAAATGGGAGACAAGTGAAGGTCTTTAGCAAGAATTAGAGCAAGAAACTTACCTCTATTTGCCTTTCAGACCTGTATCCCAACTACATGATGTTATTGTATTCTGGTGAAGGTCTACTCTTAAAAATGTTTCAAGGAAAAAAAATAAAAAGCTAATCAATCAGCATCATCAGTTTAAAAATTGTGTAAAAATCCCTGAGATGGTTGAAATATCAATTTTATTGACATACATGACATTTTTCAGCAGGTTTTAATGGATACGAACAAAGAAAAAACAACTCAAGACTATGATAAAAGGAAAGTTTTTTATTGACCACTGAAGAAGGGTAATTATACTTTTCCTGTGATGTAAGAGGTAGAGTCTGTGTTACAAAGGGATCATTCACCTGCCATTAGTGTTTCCTCTGCTGTAAAGCAAAGTCCACTAAAACAATTTAGGTTTTGCTATTCAGCTCCACTGTCATTATGCACAAAATGAAATACACTTGGGATACAGGGACTGAATACTGACAAAACCTTTAAAAAAAATTTGTTACAAATTTTATTTAGTTAATTTAGTCAGTTGTTCAAGCATGAATCCATACCTGAGACTCTGAAGCTAAGGAATACATGACAAATGAAACAATGGTTGTGACAGTAAATGACAAAGATCCAATTCAGTAGCTGTTTTAAATTGCATTAGAGACTCATCCAGAAACTTTTCCAAAAATTACCTTCTGAAAACTTCTGAATAAAGCACACTGGAACAACTGTACTGGCAAATCAATGTACCTGCACAGAAACTTTTGATTCTAGCGACATTGTCGGGCTCTGATGCTTATGCTTTCAATTCTGATTTCATAAGCAAGACATTTATTGCAAGCCCTGTTCAGTGTGTGAAGCCCAGCTGAAAGACCTGTTAGATATTACCAAAGTTTGCTATCAGAGCTGAAAGAACATTTAAAAAATGTCTTGATGTTAGGTCTGGTCTGGATATTGACCAGACTGATGACCACAAGGATGAAAGTTAATTTAAAAATTCTGCTAACAACACTAAGACGGGATAGACTTTCCACCACCTGAAAGATGCGTCTGGAATTTGAATAAGTGAAGTTTGACACGCATCAAAACACCAACCTGAAGAAAGCCAAAAAATGGTTTAATTCCCACACTTCAAAAGGAGACATAGCAGCACAAATGCAAAATGAGGTAGGAAGGTAGCTTTCTAAGTAGCTATTTGACAGAACTGGTACTGGCCATTTGTGCTAGAAGTGTCAGGTTAAAGGAAAGAACAAAAAAAGGTATTGTAAGATATAAGATGTTGTAGAAGACACAAGACAGTTTTTCTGCTCTAGTTAGTGCTACTGAGACTTCACTTGTAATCTAGTACCCAGTTCTAAGCTTTATTGCTTCAGAAAACCATAGACACTGGAGACCCCTGAGTGCAGAGCAAAACCAAATAAACAGAATTTTACTTTTTCTCTCAAGTTACACTTATCTAAAAGAACTGGATGAATTCAGTCTATAAGACATGACTAGGAATGAATGGGTACAGGTAGGGTGAAGTAAAACTGCTAAATTTAACGTGCTGAAGGGTTTCTTCCAGGACAAGTTTTTTGTTGCATATACTTAAATTCTTGTAGCACACCACTGGGCCCAGAGTAAAGCAAAAATTGAATATAGCAGAATCAGGGTACAGAAATACAAACTCCTGAAGTGTTTGAACTCTTCCTAGCCCAGGTTAAGCCTGATTCAATTCTTATCCTAAATCCTATGCACAGTTCTAGGTTAGTATGGGTCAAACATAATTCCCAATAGGCAGGCAGGATGTGATACCTGTTCTGGAGACTAAAAAAATAATAAAAAAATTAATAGCAGAGACGTAGACAGGCAAATCTAGCTGGCATATGGGTTGCAAGACAGATCTTTAAACATCTTTGCTTCTAAAGAAGAAAATGACAGGTTATAGTTTTAGACAACACTGGCAAAAGATGGAAAAATAACTGGCTTGCAGCAAAAACTAATTCTTCACACCCCTGCCCCTCAGACATCTAATTTTTTCTGACCATGGTAAAACATGTAAAAGCTAGAAGAAAGGGAAATTCTCTCCACTGAGGAGTTTACCTAGTATCAGTAAAGCAAAAATCAACTTATATTATCTGGTCTTTTCTAGCTCTTCTTTTCTAGGATTTATTTAGTTAAAATTTATTTAGTTTTCAAGTTTGCCATGTTTGCCAAGTCACTCTTGAATCTTATGCGAAAAGATATTCCATGTCAATAAAAGCCATTGCCAAGACCTTAAACAGGGCTCTATCTTATTCGGGAACTTCAGGGCAGAATGTACTTTTATGTATTCACAGTCCAAGGATCATGCATCCTCTTTTCTGTTGTCCCAAATAAAAAGCAGTCTGGCAAGTAAGTTTTTCTATAAGGATGAATTTTATCTTCCAGCAGGTGAGTTGTGAACTAGAACAAAATCCAGAGAGCTCTCTTCTTACATTACGCAGGTGCCTCCTAACCCCCTTCTTCAAAGGCTCTGTATAAACCTTTGGCCAATATTGCTATTAACTTTTTACTTTCTAAACCAATGACAGAAAATGGTAGAGCTAATGAAAGAAAGGAATGCAACTTTAAAAATATCAATATATTGCTTCACGAAGTACTCCCAAGGAAGGGTACCTTACAACACAGCTCTAAGCAATATGGCAAAGTTTCTGCTTTTTGAGGGCATTGTCATTGGTGTTTTAACTGTTTATTGACAGAGTATTAAACACAGGTGTCAGTTCTGGGAATGATGTTCTCATGCTGCAGAAGCTTGATTGCACATATGCTGCTGGACACAAAGCTATCAGGAACGTTCCTTGAGTAGGGAGCCTAACCCCACAAAACAAACCACGAAGGCAGCAAAAGGAAGAACAAAACAAACCTAAACACAAGCAACCAGAATATCTGCACCTAGTAAGAGACCTTCTACTTTGACTGCATACCAGATTCAGGCATTTCCAAATAACAAGTTAACTGTAGAATTCAACTAATGAATCCAGTTCTTCAATATTGGCCAGGTAACACAAGGAATACCAGTTGTAGTCAAGTCATATTCCTTCACTTGCTGCTATTCTCTAAGATGCATTTCTCACCCACTTGCTGCTATTCTCTGTTACATTTTTCACCCAAGTCCATGAGGATAAAAATTCCAAAGTCTACCTGGAGACACATATGCAACACTGTGTACACCACCACAGTTTTAGGTTACAGTCCTACAACAGTTAAACAGTCTATAAATAAAATATGGTAGCTTTTAAAATATTCACATACTTTTGGGGTGATCTACTATCAACTTCAGCTTTTAGTCGCAAATTCTCTCTTAAAAGGTTATTGTTTTCCATGCTCAGTTTCTTATTTGCCTAAGGAAAAGAAACAGAAAAAAATAAGTATACAGTAAAACAGAAATGACTTCTAATATTTATAGGACAAGCTGTTTCTCCTTTTTAAAGGGACAGAACTAGAAATGTGAAGGCAGGAAAGAATCTTCAGACAGGGACACCACTTAAAAATCACCATGGGAAATGGTTTGCAAAACTGAATAGCGAACAGACATTTTTTATTTATATTCCCAAAATACATTGCAAGTGTCCTATCTAGGGAAATAAACACAGCAATGTTAGTTAGCACAGAAAGTCATTAAGGAGATGTACTAATGGCAATTCCATGTTTTTTTTTCCACATGACTAAATACGTTAAGTACATTAACATTACAATGTGCAGGTATCAGCAAAACTAATGTTGAACAGCTTCCGCCATTCCAAATTAGAGCAACATTACTTTGTGGGTTTTTTGGCTTGTTTTTAAAGCATAGTTATCCTGTGGATGTAAATGCATTACGACAAGCTATTTGCAGTCTTTCTTCACTTTCTTCCAGGATGTTGTGATTAAGATTCCTGATTCACAACCCTTCTTACTCCTTGAATTGAGGTCAATTCCTTCTTCTCAGTTCAGCAGACACCCATCTTAACAAGATGCTTCATATAAAGAGAAGTTTTCCTGCCACCGTGTTTCAGAATAATGAATGCCACTATCCTAACAATCAGAATATACTCTTTGCACTTCATAGTCTGCTAATCTCTGCATGCTAAAAAACAAAGCACCACCGGTTCAAGACTTGTAATTCATAACCTCAATTAGATAACACTTCCACTGCATAATAAAAGTATGATCTAGAGTTAGATCTGAAGAAGGAGGTATGCACCGGGCTCAGGAGTGAAATGCACTTTTTTAGAAGCACTGAACAGTGCAAGAAGAGAGGCAGAAAACTTTAAATGCTTAGACAAATATCCCTAGCAATCTTTCCAGGTAAGGGGTAGGGAGAACGGAGCGGAAAAAAATAAACTAACGCCCTGCTTCCCCAACACCAAATATTCCTAAGGGCAAAAAGAATAACTAGAGACCTTTGATAAAGAAGACAAGGGAAGGGTGAGCCCAGGGCTTAGGTGTCTGAGTGTCAACTACTTGGTGTGTATGGTCAGTCTTCGCGAATGAAGATTTTGGGAAAGGTCTTTACCCTTCAAGCCTGCGCAGTGGATTTTTTAGGTGAGACACAGTGTGCGCTGAACTGAGCCCACCCTTTAATCCTGAGGTTCATCTGCCGGGGCCGAGCGAAGCTCGGACGGTGGCAGCGAGGTCCTCAGGACGTAGGTTTGTTTAGAGTGACCTTCTCTTAGATGGATGGCCTTACAGGGCTGACGAGCTCCATCTGCCCGGGGGAGTTTCCCTTGACCGGGAATCGAACCCGGGCCGCGGCGGTGAGAGTGCCACATCCTAACCACTAGACCACCAGGGTTCCCCGTACGAGCCACCAACTACTTGGTATTCAAAAAATAAAAGCACAAAAAATTATCCTGAAAGCGATGAGTAAGAATTCAGGAAACCTCAGTTCCAAAGAAGCTCCATTTGACAACATGGCCAAAACCTTTCTCCATTTCCAGAGACAGCTCCCCCAACCACATAATCAAGTAAAAAATTTCACGACTGAACCTCTTTGGTGTCCTTCCTCCAGAGAGTGCTTGATCCTCCAAGCCAGTAATCTGCAAGGGATCTCCACTTGCAGCATGATGTCTAGATTAATTAGCTCACATAACTGCATTTTTAATGAGTGTTCTTTGTCCAGTATTTCTACTGTTGGGTTTGTTTCACCACTCCCATACTTGTTATGACTCCACTCAAAGGCAATAATGCCTACTTTGGGCATTTCTACATTTGTCTGCTCTAGGACATTTAAATGATAAAGGTGGTTGCTATTTCCTGACTCGGTCTGGTTTTGAAAAAGAAAGCGATGGCAAGCACATTTGCTGAGGGACCATGTCTCGCTAACAAGAGATGTACGGATGAAACCCCTGGGTCAGGCACTTTCATGGATAAGAAGGTTTCTGGTTCCAGACTGTGTGTGCGTCTTGCTGTTCAGAGTGAACTGTTCAGTGCATGCTTACAACTGAGACAAGGTCTAAAATGAGAGCTTATGGAATTGAGCAGCTATTGAAGAGGGAACAGATGGGAAGAGTGTTGGACTTGATGATCTTAAATGTCTTTTCCAATCTTAATGATTCTAGGACAACAGTTTAATATTGTTCCCTAAAACGCATCTAAACCTCTATTTGTTTCTAACCCTTAACCAAATTTAGAGACTCCATAAACTTAAATCCCTTTTCCTGTTAAGGCTGAAGTTACATTGAAAAAAAATACCCAAACAAACTCTTCCCTCAGTTCCTGCTATATTCTTTTTTTTACTTACCTAGGGAAAAAGTTAAAAAACTTAGTCATCAAAAAAACAAAAGTCAGTACAGTTTAACTTCATAAAAATATACAAAAAAATAAGCAGACAAGAACTTTTGCTGTGAATCCCCTTTTGCCATCTACAAGTGACTCTGAAGCTCCTGGGGTCCTAGAAGTGTCCTTTTAACTACAGAATGGTAGAACAGTATGTGTGCCTCCGAGTCGGTAGCACAGAATAAGTGGGAACACTATTAATGTGTAAAAAGTTAAGAAAAAAGTCCTAAACACATCACACTTCATTTTTGCAGGTGGCAACTCAGGATCGTTAATAGAAAAAATAAAGGCAGCATTTTGAACAAATGCAAGTCCAGTTCTTTCTACCTTGTTTTCAAATTAATTTTGAAATTTCACTCTTATTCAGTGTTTGAGGTGATCCTTCTTGTGCCCACAGATATATTTTGCAAGATATTTTTATTTACATGTATTTTCACACGTCTATCTCCTGCATCCCCGCTTCTGCAGTATCAGATTTTTTTTATATTACAACAAGATGTATAAAAAGGTTGCAGGTTTCCAGTAAAGGATCTTCTGGTCATAAAATGCTGAAGCTCGTCTATTTTTGGTCAAAGGGTCAAGTTACCCTGTCTCAGCAAATTGCACCAAAAATATCGGCTAGCAGGGAGGGCAATAGTGCAAAATCTGCCTCAGCCAACTGTACTGTGTTTGCCCACTGAATGTTGTAAAATAGATATATTATATAGATTATTGCAAGCCTGAAAAATCTGGTCATCAATACTGTTGACAAGTGCTACTATAATCCAATTACCCAGGCACAGAGTGACGGAGGAGTTGAAAAGCAGTCACGTACAGGACTCACTAGAACAAGCAATAACATTTGACACTTGCAAGGGCTATATGGAAATACTGTGATACAACAACAGTCACTGGAATTCAATTTTTTTTCTTTCTTCCGGATCTATGAAGTACCCAGAGGTCATGCTAGCTCTGATTCCCGGTTAACTAACATGAAACAGTTACACTACAAGATAGCTGAAGAAATGTGTTTATTGCATTTATTACCTCCTTTAGCTTTTCCACATTATCCATCAGTTTTTCATACATATCATTGGCAGCTTTCAGCTTTTTGCTCCATTCCTCTGGTGTTTCTGGGCCACTGGTACTTGCTTCATTTGCTGACTGGCTAGTTTCCTCATTTTGGCAAGACAAAGCTGATGCTGCAGGATCCAGAAGAGATTTCAGCTGTGTCTGTAAACTGAGATTTTTACCTCTCAGATCTTCTACTTCTTTTTGCAGGGACTCTATTTCATCCTAAAGGTGTCAGAAATTCACAGGAATTAAAATAATTTGTGAGATTAATTGAATAACACTGACAAGTTCCCACATCACTTTGTAAGCCTGGGTTCTGGCAAGCCCAGATGCATGCCTTCACTTACACATATATCTAAGTATGCTTACGTATTGTGCTCTAGGCAGGATTTTAATCAACCTGCACACTCAAGCACAGTGAAGATTTTAGTGAAGGGAATCCCTTGACTACGTAAAGGACCCTGAACAAACTGGTGGGCAGACCAAAAGCTTCAAAGCATTCAGCAACATGAATCTATTATTAGGGTACTGTGTTGGGAGGATTTCCTGTATCAGGAGTGTTCTTAAGGCTGACTCTCTGCTGACTCATTTGCTGTTTTATAAGAGTGTTTCTCTCATATCATTTGGAAACATTACATGTTCAGATGCTGAAAGCCTCAAAACCCAAAATGGACAGAACACTGCCTGAAAAAGGCTGCTCCACCTACACCAAAGTAGCAACACCTTAGGAAAGACTCTCAAAATGCAAGGAACAGAGCTCTTAGCTGTAGCAGTCTGAAGCTACAAAGAAGTAAAAACCTTCAAAAGGTTTGTTAAAGGGATAAAAAATTTATCCTGAAAACATGTCTTCTACACTGTTCACCAACTTAAATACCTGAGTTGTTCATGGTCAGACTACTAAAGGTAGTATATATAGCATATATAGCATTGACACAAATCCAAGGCATATTTTCATAAATAATCAAGCCCGCCTCTGCCCCTATCATGGGAACAGCCATTTTAAATTCAAGGTTTTTTAAGAGATTTATGTTATCCTTCTGCCTGGCAAGGTTATGGAGCAGATCATCCAACGTGCAATCACACAACACCTACAGGATGGACAAGGGATCAGACCCAGCCAGCACGGGTTTAGGAGGGGCAGGTCCTGTCTGACCAACCTGATCTCCTTTTATGATCAGGTGACCTGCCCGGTGGATCAGAGGAAGGCTGTGGACGTGGTCTTCAGCAAAGCCTTTGACACCATCTCCCACAGCATACTCCTGAAAAAGCTGGCAGCCTGCAGCTTGGACAGGGGTAGTCTCTGCTGGATCAAGAATTGGCTGGATTGTCAGGCCCAGAGAGTGGTGGTGAACGGTGCTGCATCCAGTTGGCAGCTGGTCACCAGTGGTGTCCCCCAGGGATCAGTGTTGGGCCCAGTTCTGTTTAATATCTTTATTGATGATCTGGATGAGGAGATCAAGTGTACCGTTAGCAAATTTGCAGATGACACTAAGTTGGGGGGGGAGTGTTGATCAGCTGGAAGGCAGGAGGGCTCTTCAGAGGGACCTGGACAAACTGGAGAGATGGTCTGATTCCAATGGGATGAGGTTCAACAAAGCCAAGTGCCAGGTCCTGCACTTTGGCCACAACCCCCTGCAGCACTACAAGCTGGGCACAGAGTGGCTGGAGAGCAGCCAAGCAGAAAGGGACCTGGGGGTTTGGATTGACAGGAAGCTGAACGTGAGCCCAGGTGGCCCATGAGCCTCAGGAAGCTGAGCAGTGTGCCCAGGTGGCCAAGAAGGCCAATGGCATCCTGGCCTCTATCAGGAACAGTGTGGCCAACAGGACCAGGGAAGTGATTCTTCCCCTGTACTCAGCGCTGGTGAGGCCACACCTTGAGTACTGTGTCCAGTTCTGGTCCCCTCAGTTCAGGAAGGATATTGAGGTGCTGAAGCAGGTCCAGAGAAGAGCAACAAGGCTGGTGAAGGGACTGGAGCACAAGTCCTATGAGGAGAGGCTGAGGGAGCTGGGGTTGTTCAGCCTGGAGAAGAGGAGGCTCAGGGGAGACCTCATCACCCTCTACAACTACCTGAAAGGAGGTTGTAGGAAGAAATTTTTTACAGAGAGAGTAATCACACATTGGAATGGGCTGCCCAGGGAGGTGGTGGATTCACTGTCCCTGGAGGTTTCTAAGATGAGACTGGATGTGGCACTTAGTGCCATGGTCTAGTAACCATGGCAGTGTTGGATCAAGGCTTGGACTCAATGACCTCAGAGGTCTTTTCCAAACCAGTTCATTCTATGATTCTATGCCTAGCTGTGTGAATTTGGAGTTGATTCAAAAGAAAGGAAAGAAACCTTTTTCCTGACTCCTTCTCTCATACAGGACAAAAGAACCTGAGCTATAGGCAAGCTTGTCATAAAAGATAGCTTTTACTTCCCCGGTGTTAAAGATATACAGAGTCCATTTCCCTTCCCTCATTCTCCTCCCCAAGACAGGTTTCCTTCAAAAATATGTGATGTCTTCACATTGCTGCTACTAAGGGAACAACAGCTGAGAAAAGAAACTAAGCATATTCCTTATTAACAGCTTTTCATCTTCCCAAGAGAGTATTTTTCCAGCAGGAGAGTTAAGCATTCAAGTTCCACTTTGAAGCATTTACTCACTTTCAGAAAACAGTAAAACAATAACACTAAAAATTAACCTAGGCCAGAAGGTTACAGTGGACAATATTCTTTAAGAAGGAATTTAATCTCCCTGAGCAAGAGGGAATTACTTCAAAAAATGTTTGCATTTGTATTGAAGACAAAACAAAAGGCTCCCTACACCCAGTATGCATAAAGAAAACCCTCCCATACCACCTGGGGGTAGAATTTCCACAAAACTAAAGAATTGGTTGTAGCCTAGAAAGACTATTACCATGACTTCAGTGGGGTCACTTCAAGCACCAGCAAATGCTGTCCTGTAACCTGAGTCAAAAGATGGGATTTTAATGTAGTTGAGTTTAACATAGATACAGTATAAACCTTTACTCAAATTAAAAACAGCAGGACTCACCATTTGTATGCAGCAATTTAACAGTTGCAGTTCATCTGGAAAGCCACAACACCCCCCTGTCCTTACCTCATATTCTTTGTGGAGCAATTCAAGCCTTGTTTTACGTAGGTGTTTCCTGACTGCCGGACTAAATAAAGGATCACTTTCACTTGTTCCTCCTAAAGCAACACAGGATGACAGAAGCACTGGTATTGTCTCTTCTTCATTCAATTCAATACTAGTAATCCACCTTACATCACTTTTCATATTATGAATGCAGCTAAGATTGGACCAATTGGCTGCCATGGGAGATTTAAAGTCCTTTCACTTTCAGAAAATGTTCAACTTGAGTATCTACTAGTGCTATTTAGAAGTCAAAATCCTGACTCACAGCAAGAAGAAAACTTTTAATTTTTTTAACTTTTTATTTCTGTTAACAGAATCCTATCTTATTTAAGACAATACTATTAAAACAGAGCTGAAGGGTGGAGGTGGGGTATCAAGCCTACATTTAATTAGTACAAGACAGTGTAAGTTTTTAAAGTGAGATCGTTCAGATATATTTTTCTCTCAGAATGAAATAGCAGAGCTGACATTTTATGTTAAATAAAGACTACAGTATTTCCTAGCTCTGGAAGTTCAGATCCTCATTCAGGTGTTGTAGCTTTGTCATATTTCTGTGCTAAGAGTAATTTTCTTAAAAATAAAGCAAAAGGGAGGAAGTGACGAACAAAACAAAACAAACAAAAAGTAAAAAATACCACATACTCATTCGAGATTCTGGATTGAAGTACACTATCTCTCAGCTAAATGCTGTTCTCTTAGGTCAGCAGATCGCGCTGCATTGGTGGAGTACTTCAAGTGAGAATACATTGTTTCCAGTTACAGGACGTCCAATCAAGATTTAAAAAACAATCAATAGAGGCGTGGGGTACTGGTTACCATGAATAATCTAAGCACTAATATACACATGATCTTTAGAAATGTAACTGTGTAGCTATTATGTATGTTTCCAGAAAGATTTAAAGTTAATTCTTCCTTAGATGCTGGTAAAAAACACACAGGCGAAAAGGTATCCAGACATCTTTCGACTCAAAGCAATTTCCTCCAGCAGTAAATACCAGAAAGTTACTTCAAAGCCTAAAGTTGTCCTTACCTATAATTTCCTTGCAGGGGTTTTCAGGTGTGATGGGAATCCTGCAAGCTGGGCACTGATTATTGTTCTTCAGCCACACTTCAATACAAATGGAACAGAAGACATGGTTGTTCACACAGATAACTGGGTGACGGACCTTTCAGTATTAAGGGGGAGAAAAAAAACCAAACAGAAAAACAGTATGAATACTTCAAAACTCTCCCAGGTAACAAAGTACGAAAATACACAACTCCATCTCTCAATGCAAGTCTGGTCTTGCAGGAAAGTGACACTGTTGTTCCACAGGACTAGCTAGGAGTGATCTGACTCAAACACCAAACTTCCCTATTATTGAAGGCACCGAACCAAGGTCCTTGGTTCCAAGAGCTCATTAACACATAATGTGGGAGCAGCACCTTTCCTTCACCCCACAACCTCCAAGAACTACAGCCAACTGCTCCAGTGAATGCATTAGCCTCCCAAGGCAGAAGGAGACCAAAAGACCCATATTAACTGATTTTCAAAACTAAGGGAAGGAGGGATTTCTCCTGGCAACAACCAACCCTTTGCCTCAAAAGAGGTGTCATTGAAATGTACAGTGTTACAGATTGACTTTAGCCTGCACATAATCAGATTCATGGAAATCAGCTTTAAAAAGGATCAGGGCCAAAACCACAGAGCTGAAACATGAACCAGGAATCACTAATTCAACCCTCCTGCTAGATATGCATTGCTACTAAATAAGTCATTACCCAGGAATGGGGCAGCTAACTGAAGGATTAAATATTCCAATCAGACACAGATTCTTTCAAGAAGCTTTCGCTCCCCTTCTGAAACAGCAGGGTAAACAAACTTTTAGAAAATATTAATGACAATGCATTATTCTCTCTTGTCATTTAACTATAAACCCTGTTTGAAAGTAAGTGTGCATAGAGGGACCAAATATGATGTGGAAGGAAAAGACTTTATGCCTTACTGCAGCTTCTGTTCCAGCTTACTGTAATATGCACTCTCAAAATCTCTCACGTGTTAACACTAGTATCTATGTTAGGGGTCTTAAAAATAATTATTTGTTTTTCCTCCACTCCCTCTTTGCCCAAGAAACGCATTTTAAGATGCAGAAGCATCAGTATATATTATTTTAGATTCTACTGTACTGCACTTAAAACCCAAGTTCAAGAGAATCTTTTCAACTTTAAATGAAGTCCTCATCACCTCCAAAGATATTGCTCTTTCAAGATATTCCTCTTTTGTTTTATTAGTAAAGCAGTCAAACTAAAAATGAAACGTTGGCAGGGAGAAGCAAGGAAATGGAAATGACAGCCAACAATCACTTGGGCAATCAGACTAGATGTGTCCTGGTTTTTACCACTGAAATACACTGATATACACTGAAATACACATGGATATGAATTAAGGCCCAGATCTGTCAGCTTCTTCTCCAATTCACTACCTATACCTCTTACATGATTCACAATATTTTTAGGATCTCCTATATTACAGTCCTGAGAGCCATAAGAATTATCTATCCATAAACAGACACTCAAGTTACTAAAGGTCTGAACAGAGAGAAACTGAACTGTACTCCTAAGGAGAGGATTTTTATAATAATCAACACTTTTTTGTGATTATTGCAAGCATAGCATACCAATGCTTTGGAAAAATTTAAATATTACAATTTCCATTATTTTTAAAAAATCTTGTTATTTACTGCTTTTCTTTAACAGAAAAAGAGCTTTCTCACCAGCAGATAGCACACCCCCCCACATACCCCTCCCCCCAAAAAAACAAACCAAAAAAACCCCACCCCAAACCAGAACTTTTTCTCTAGCCATACTTTTTTCTTACTCAAAAGCAGCCTGAGAATAGTTATATGCATGGTGATGATAAGATACAGAGCAGAATAACACAAAATAATCCAAACAGGAAAAGACATTTCAGGAGTGCAGGTCTTCCCCCTGGGGAGCAAGAAACCCTCAGTTACCCCAAACCTGACACAGAAGCACACTTCTTGCAAGTGAATGATTACTCCATATCTCTAGCAAAATAGTAAGTCACATTTATTACTCTCCAGGGTACAGTGCTTCTGATTTACACACCTGTACAAGTTTCATTCTGGGGCTGGGTTTTGTACTTTTGTTGGCTCAGGATCCACACAAAGCAATCCAAGCAGAAGCTCTATTGATGTCACACAGTGGCTGGGGGTGCTGCTGCCCTTCGTGCAGTTCCCGAGCCACTGACTGTGACAAGCCCATGGGGTGGAGGACCATGACATACCCAAAAAGCATTTTACTTGAATTACAGCCCAGTTTCAGTTCCTCAATTGACCATAATGTCACAAAGACTACAGCTCATTTGAGAAGACTTGATCAGCTAGGTGATTTTGAGCAATTTCCTCATTTTTCCCCTCCCACAAAATGCAATGCCTATGCAGACCAAAATCAAATCCTGTACACATCTATGTCACTTTGAAGGCACTTCTGGACCTTCAAGTAGGATTAATAGAGGAGCAGGCACACGGAAAAGAAGGCACACTAATACCAGTGAATGAATTCTCAGACATCCTACGCAGAACTGTGCGCTCGAGCCCAAGCAAACTGTCAACACCAAAACCAACAGGTCTGAGAGACCTTCAGACATTCTGGGACAAGTAAACCTAACAGTCCAATGCAGATGGCTTCTGATATGGTTACTGATTATAAATATGGATACCTTAGAAGACAGCCCAGGCCTTGCTAAAAGAATGTTCAAGTGACAAACATGAAATTGATCCAAGCAATTAGCTCTTATTATAAATGGTTATTTACACATCTTGCCAGTATACTTTTTGACACTGCTCAAGTTAACAAAAGGGGCTAACATGTCCTTCCTGCCCAAGATTTCTGCTTTGTTAAAAACAACGTTATTGAATGAGTATCTCTTTTTTTATCCCCTTACCGTTACGCACAGTAGTTTCTATTTTGCAGACAGACCTTTGCAAATTTTTCAAGGATAGCAAGAAGTACATTCTGATTGCAGGGTGGGCCTTCTACTTGATTGAAGCCTATGCTACAAACCATAGAAGCATCAGATTATGTCAACTCTCCACAATACTCTCTGCTCCACCCTACAAGACAGGACAAAACTGACAAGACATTTTCCTTAATTTAAACTAAATAACTTTCTTATGCTAACCTTACTCCCGAGAAGAGTTTTCTTTCTGATGAAGTTTTTCAATGAAGTTCCAAGCTAGAGGCAAAGATGTGCATTGAAAAGAAAGGACAGTCAGAGCTGCCAACTTTGGCAAAATTTAAACAGTTTCACACATCTAAAACCAAAAGCATTCAAATACCTTTATTACAGGTAGCACCCATAGATTCACTGATATAATGTTAATGTATTATCTCAGTGCAATATAGCAAGAAAGAGTGTGGAAATCTCTTCCAGTACAAACTCAGGAACATCAATTCCTGACCAACTCTAGAAAAGAAGTGGAAGTATGAAACAATGGCTTGAAATAACCCAGTGGTTTTATAGGAAGATATGAACGAATACCTAACCAATCTATTACAGCTAGAAAGTAACTAGGATTGGATTCAAATTGAAAATACCTTGTTGGTTTGATTTTGCTCTCCTCTCTCCATTATAGACACACTATGTTTGTGTTCTCCTCCATTTTCATTAAACAGATAAACAGAAAAGGAGAGGTAACAGGACAACAGCCAGGAAGTCTTGCTTGGCTTCCACAGAAAAGCCAAGAGAAGAGTAAACATAACTGCTAAAAGTAACACTCTCTGTCAGAGTTAAGACTTGAGAAAAGGTAGAAACAAACCAGTCAGTAAATGCTCTGAGTATAAACATAAAAGGTTATTTCTTCCCTTTGTAATTACTGTTGTGCTTTAAGAGATTAGTTTTGTTTTTGAGAGTAGGAAAACAAGAAATAAAAAGAGTACTAATGAATGAGCAAAGAATTTGAGAAGCAATTAGTGACCACTATGAAATTAGGTCTGGGGCTTCTAGAGAGGAACAGACTATTCAAGAGCCCTCTGCTTCCCGAGGGAGAAGAGAAAGGAACTGAGAAAGGGTCAGAAAGAGGAAACTGGAAACTTTTCCTCCAGACTGCTGCAGTTTTGCTCAATACATTTTAAATCCACCTGGTTATACATCCCCTTTTTGTTTCACTTGTTCTCCGCGACACCGCACCACGTTCAAATACAGGCTCACCGAGCGTTTTGAAGCAGAGCATCCTACTGGGACCGGAAGAAAAAACCCAAACCTCAAACCTTCCCCTCGGGAGCTGCATACCCGCGTTTGGGCGGCCTCGGGCCCCGAGCCCCCAGTAACAGCCCCCGGGACGTTCCCGCCGGGGCGCGCGCGGTTCCCGACATCCCAGTGTTGCCAAGAAACCTCGGCCGCAGCCGGGAACGGCCCTCAGGGGAGAAGGGACCCCGTACCCCAACTTTCTTCCCCTTAAAAGAGACAATTCCGGTGGGGGTCAGGGCGTCGGGCCACGGCGGGGCCCCTGAGCTCCGCCGCCGGCCGGACCGCCCCGCTCCCCGCCTTCCGCTCCCCGCACCCAGGCCGGGGCCGCGGGGGCCCGGCGGCGTTGCCGCCGTTACCTTGCCCAGGCAGATGTGGCAGGTGATGGGCAGCGTGAGGGACAGCGTGACGCTCGGCCCGTGCTGTGCCATCGCGCCGGCCCAGCTCAGCCCCGCTCAGCTCAGCCCAGCCCAGCTCAGCCCAGCCCGGCCCCACGAGCACGGAAGTCCCGCGGGCGGGCTGCGGCCCAGGATCCCGCCAGCCGCGGTACGGCGAGCCGGCGGGGCCAAGCCGCCGCCCGGCGGAGGGAGGGCGCCGCGCGTTGTTGCAGCGCTCCCCTGGGGGGCGGGCGGGAGCCGCGGCCCCTCACGGCTCTGCCGGGCCGCTGCTGTCCCCCGTATGGGCCTGGGGGACCCATGGAGTTCTCGGCCTCCGCGCGGCCTTCCTTTTGGGAAGCACAGCGCCATGGGGAGCATTGGTGCAGTGCCCGTGCAGGAGGAGGCCGACGCGCTGACAAGGGTGATGTCCTTTACCCTAGTAAAACTTATCCTATGCTCACGTTTCATCGTGCTGAATTGAATAAACGGGCTGTTTTAGTCCTGTTAATTCACCTGAGTCATAGAACCATAGAATAGTTTGAGTTGGAAGAGACCTTTTAAGGTCATCTACTTCCAACCCCCCACCATGGGCAGGGACACTTTTTAGTAGACCGGGTTGCTCGGAGTGCCATCCAATCTGACCTTGAGCTCTTCCAGGGGTGCAGCATCCACAGCTTCTCCGGACAATCTGTTCCGATGCCTCACCACTCTCTCAGTAAAAAATTTCTTCCTAATATCTAATCCAAACCTACTCTCAGTTTGAACTCATTCCCCCTTGTTCTGTTACTACATGCTTTTGTAAATAGTCTTGCCCCATCTTTCTTGTAAGTTTCCTTCAGGTACTGGAAGGATGCAATTAGGTCACCCTGAAGCCTTTTTCAGGTTGAACAATCCCAATTCTGTCCACCTTTCCCCACAGGAGAGGTGTTCCATCCCTCAGATCTATTTGGTGGCTTCTGCTGGACTCACTTGAACAGGCCAGTGCCCTTCATGGGACATGGGAACGTGCTGCCCTGGAACATGTTCTAGGGGAAACTCCCAGGGCACGAGCCTCTCTTCCCCATCACCTCCAGTCCATACTCGGCTGCAGTCTCGCCCCTGGCATTGTCTCTGGGTTCCTGCACTGCCCTCCCACTGCGCAGGCGGCTTGGCCGAACCCCCTTGCTTCCTGGCCCAAAGCTTTGCCTGTCAACTCAGGTGGGAATTGCACAGCCCTTGCGGCTGCAGCTTTGAGGCCAGCAAGAACATGAGGACTGATAAGCCACCAAGCCCTGCAAGGTGCTGTGTGTGGCGATGCTTGCTTAATGATGTCTGATGGAAGATCCTGATCCATGGAAATTGAGGGGCCAAATTCACAGATGAAAATTTTTATCTGCCACCCGGCTTGTGCCAAGGACTCTCCAAACTGCAGAGCCTCTGTGTTACTCTTTCTGGGCAGATGAAGAGCAGCTGGGAAGCAGTGCTGGTGAGACAGGAGGCTCCTAGGAGTCTGCTCACTTGACCTCCATCCCAGGATTCCTGTAGTTTCTTGTAAATGTGCCACAACATGCTGAAAATTATAGACCTGAGTGATTTAACATTGAGGCACATGATAAATGCTTATAATGCTGAGCAGCTAATTCAAACAAGCATAAAGTTGTGGATGCAATGATTAACAAGGAAAGTATCTTAGGCTGACTCTGATAGCAGAGTTGCACGAGTGCATTTCAATTTGATATAGGTAAGTTGCTGCAAATAAAGTGAGGAAACTAATCCGTGGTGACATTCCAGTGTAGACAAGGCCTAGCGGATTTCGTGGTAACGTAATCCTTGGGTAGGAAAGGACAAGTTTGAATAAGACGTGCTTGATAAAGATTGAGTGTTTACACATTACAACACCTTTCCGTAAACTCCAGGAAAAATTATTTACTGTCAAATAAAAAAAGAACCATTTGCCAACATAATGGACATATCCTTAATTAATATAAACTGGACTGAGTGGACATCCACTGCGAGGAGATGCTTTTAGTCCTGGCATGACTGACCTGCCGCCTAGGTAGAAGGGTGCTCAGAGAATTTTTTTCAAGAGAAATGTAAAATTATTGAGTCTTTTGAGCTTTAAAGAGAACCACTGGAGCCTGAAATTCATTGAGTGAGTTTATCATGCAGCCAGCAAGCTACACAGGAATGCAATGAATCCCTGTTATTTATCTTTCTTAGCTTTATTTTTATATTGACTTTTATTGAAAAAATGTGAATAGACAATACAAAGAGTAGAAAGGCTAAATGCATGAAAGAGAAATCAAAAGCAAGGAAATGCGTCTTGCATTTGACATGTGAAACTCTTTTAAATGAATCTGGGATGAAGCAGGAACCCTTTCAAAGGCATGACTTCCACTACTTCAAAAAAGTGTCTGTAACTGGAAAGTGACCTGTTGGAGAACAAGCTCTATTGGTATGAATTTATTTTCTCTCAGCCAAAAATAACTTGTAAAGGAGTTTATTCTTCTGAATAAGCTGCTAAAAGGAACACATTTTCTGTGTAAGGAGGTTAAACTTATTTGTTTAGTGGATTTCTGCTGAGGTTGTATGCCTAGTCAGGGAAGAAATACTTAAAAAATTATTTGTGATCTAGTAGCGCCTGAGGTTTTGTTGAAATTTATGGGTTGATGTTACCAACTCTTCAGGGGTACAGAAAATACTTAATTCTGTAGTGCTGAAAGAGAGATCTCAGAGAGCAAGGAGAAAGAAGCTGGAGGGCTAACAATCTGCTGCAGCAAAGCGGCACTGAGAAATACCATGTAACTGCAAGAGATAAATGTTTAACAGTTCGAGGCTACTGAACACCATAGTCCGCATAGCATGAAGGATACTTTTGCAGGAGGGCTGGAGCCAGGATGAAACACATAAAAATTTTGTGGGATGCGTGGCATGCATCAAACTGGATCCTTTGATCCACTGGAGGATCAAACAAGCAGGCAATTTTCCAAAAATCTAGCCACTGTTGTTGGTAAATCTACAGAGTTAGGTGGGTTAAAGGTCAACAACATAACCATGAAAGATCTCCCAGGATTAGGGCTTCATTTGTAAAATGCTTCAGCCACTTCATTACCAAATCTTGAAATCTTAGAAACCTTGAGATGATTAGTAGTGAAAATATGAAAATAGCATCCATCACAAAAATTAAAAGTTCTTTGATGAGAGCTTGGAAAGAACCAATATAGGACAAGAGAAACTGATCAGATTCCTAAAGTGAGCCAATTAAGTCTTTTCTGCTTGAGACATATATTGCTTGATTCATAAAAATGAATAAAGTTACCATATTTTTGGCTTAAAATATGTAAGTTCCTACATTTTGGGTCTGTGCATGTTTCCCAGCATCATTGTGTAGAGAGAGGAATGAGCAGGGGAGGGTGTGAAGTGTGTGTCTTCTTGGCTGATTAGCCCAGCTGATAAGTGATAAATAATGCAATTGAATTGTTTCTAACAATTTGGATATATACAATATATTTGGATGTGGCACTTTATGCCTCGAAAACCTAACTTGAAGATCATTTTTTGCACCTACACAAATAGATATAAACCACTAATGTTTTAACTTTTTTTTTTTTTTTTTTTTTTTTTTTTTTGTGTTCTACCATGCAGTGCCAAGCCAGGCTACCCACTCTCAGTGTCCACTTCTGCAACAGTGAAGTCTGGTCAGGTTGGTCTTGAAGAGTTTCCTCCTCAAAAAACAAGACTGGATGGATCTTTAGCTTTTAAAAATGGTTTCCCAGCTGTTTTTACATGATTTAGGGGAATATATAGTGAAATTTGCCTAAGAAAGAGTAAAGAAGCATGGGATTCTAGGTGCCTAAAGTCAGACTTGTGGTCATTAAAACATACTACTTTCAGAAAAGGTAGAAACATGTTCTGCCTGCTCAGGACTTTACTGTTGACAAGCCCTGCAGAGTGGTAACCTCGCTGGCTCCTTTTGTGAGACACCATCTCAGGGATTCACTGGCTGCCTAATCCCTTCTTGATGGCATTCAGAGGTCATTCAGTGTAAATATGTAGCTCTCAGATGCCCCCTGTCTATGATGCCTGAGCACTGTAGGCTGCTCTTCCTAGTTGCTCTTTGGGATTTGCCATGTGGCTTTCCTTTTAAAATGTAAGCAAATTTCGTCTCTTTCTTTAAAACAGTGTTTTGGGTTTTGGCTGTGGAAAAAATTTAGTGTTATCAGAAAGTAAATAAAAAGAATGTCAGAGACCAGAAGATTAATCTCTGGCTGTTGGGTAAGTGAACTGGGGCAGAGAAAGAGAATAACTTTGGTGATTTAATGGTGTTTGAGACTGACACTCTTTTGTAAGCTTGGTGCAGTTAGTCTTCTTCACAAGAAATAGTAAAAGATGACAAATCGCTTTTACAAATGCAGTTTTTGTTTTGAGTTTAACCGCCGTAACTTTATCTCCTCTTAAAGAAGAATATACCTGCCTTCAGGTTCCAGGATCCACAAAGGAATTCAAAGTGAGTAGCTCAGGTTGTAGACATCTCGCTCCTAGGCATCCAAAGTTCAGTGAGAAAAACCCTGTTCTTCATGATCCTTTTTAGATTTTTTGATCTTGGTCTTCTGATACTTTCCATTTTTCTTGACATGTGTCAGCAAGGAGCCAAATAAGTAAATAGATAATGCTGGGTTATACCTGAAGTCAGTGCAGCTTGCATACTTGGGACATTAGGCTATGCCCTTTTTTATTTTTGAGGGTCATGAAAAAGGTTCATTTCCCATTAGACTTTTTTTCAGATGGATATTTTATCTAAACTGAATTGCATTAGAATGGCATCTGAGGGCCAGAAAAAGCTCCAGAAGTATTGTGCTGTGCAGTCACTCTCTAACCCACCTGTAATGGTATGTCTCAGCCTAAGGATGTCTCCATGAGCTTTTCAGGAGTCTGTGTGTTTGAAGGCTGGTTGCAGTGAGCCACAGATGTACCAGGCAAGGTCCTGATCATCATCAACAAGTGGTATGGATAAACAGACCATGCTTTCTGTTCTGTGCTTATTTTATTTGCTAGTATATATAGAGACTTTGTGAAATAGGTAATATAACAGTGAAGAGGGGGAATTTTAGCTACTTTTTATGCATAGATGATCTCTCTCTAACCCCTC